TAGAATGCCCACATAGAAATTCCCACACAAAATATTCACACCCTGACTCACCAACTCTATGTCAGGGCGTGACAATCAATTTTAGCAAATTTATAAAAAACAAAAAGCTGAAATACATTTACATAGGTATTCAGACGCTTTCCTCAGTACTTTGTTGAAGCACCTTTGGCAGGGATTACAGCCTCGAGTCTTCTTGGGTATGACGCTACAAGCTTGGCACACCTGTATTTGGGGAGTTTCTCCCATTCTTCTCTGCAGATCCTCTCAAGCTCTGTCAGGTTGGATGGGGAGCATCGTTGCACAGGTATTTTCAGGTGTCTCCATAGATGTTCGATCGGGTTCAAGTCGGGCTCTGGCTGGGCCACTCAAGGACATTCAGAGACTTGTCCCCAAGACACTCCTGCGTTGTCTTGGCTGTGTGCTTAGGGTCGTTGTCCTGTTAGAAGGTGAACCTTCACCCCAGTCTGAGGTCCTGAGTGCTCTGGAGCAGGTTTTCATCAAGGATCTCTGTACTTTGCGCCGTTCATCTTTCCCTCAATACTGACTAGTCTCCCAGTCCCTGCCGCTGAAAAACATCCCCACAGCATAATGCTGCCACCACCATGCTTCACCATAGGGATGATGAGAGGTTTCCTCCAGATCAATTCAATCTTGGTTTCATCAGACCAGAGAATCTTGTTTCTCATGGACTGAGAGTCCTTTAGGTGCCTTTTGGCAAACTCCAAGCGGCTGTCATGTGCCTTTTACTTAGGAGTGGCTTCCGTCTGCCCACTCTACCATAAAGGCTTGATTGGTGGAGTGCTGCAGAGATGGTTGTCCTTCTGGAAGTTTCTTCCATCTCCACAGAGGAACTCTAGAGCTCTGTCAGTGACCATCGGGTTCTTGGTCACCTCCCTGACAAAGGCCCTTCTCCCCCAATTGCTCAGTTTGGCCGGGAGGCCAGCTCTAGGAAGAGTCTTGGTGGTTCCAAACTTCTTCCATTTAAGAATGATGAAGGCCACTGTGTTCTTGGGGACCTTCAATGCTGCAGAAATGTTTTGGTACCCTTCCCCAGATCTGTGCCTCGACACAATCCTGTCTCGGAGCTCTATGAACAATTCCTTCAACTTCATGGCTTGGTTTTTGCTCTGACATGCACTGTCAACTGCGGGACCTTATATAGACAGGTGTTTGCCTTTCCAAATCTTGTCCAATCAATTGAATTTACAACAGGTGGAGTCCAATCAAGTTGTAGAAACATCTCAAGGATGATAAATGGAAACAGGATGCACCTGAGCTCAATTTCGAGTCTCATAGCAAAGGGTCTGAATACTTATGTAAATAAGGTATTTCTGTTTTGAATTTTGTACAATTTGCTAGAATTTCTAAAAACCTGTTTTCGCTTTGTCATTATGGGGTATTGTGTGTAGATTGATGAGGATTTATTTAATTTAATCAATTTTAGAATAAGGCTGTAACGTAATAAAATGTGGAAAAAGTCAAGGGTTCTGAATACTTTCCGAATGCACTGTATAATGTTTGATCATTCCAAATGTCTTATGTTGTACACTGAACAAAAATATAAACACAACATGTAAAGTGTTGGTCCCATGTTTCATGAGCTGAAATAAAAAATCCCAGAAATTTTCCATATGCATAAAAAGCTTATTTCTCTCAAATGTTGTGCACAAATTTGTTTACATCCTTGTTAGTGAGAATGTATCCTTTGCCAAGATAATCAATCCACCTGACTGGTGTGGCATATCAAGAAGTTGATTAAACAGCATGATCATTACACAAGTGCACCTTGTGCTTTGGAAAATAAAAGGTCACTCTAAAATGTGCAGTTTTGTCACACAACACAATCCCACAGTCTCAAGTTTTGAGAGAGCATGCAATTGGCATGTTGACTGCAGGAATGTCCACCAGAGCTGTTGCTCCATAAGCCGCCTCCAAAGTCATATTAGAGAATTTGGTATAATGTCCAACCAGCCTTACAACCGCAGACCACGGGTAACCACGACAGCCCAGGACCTCCACATCTGGCTTAATCACCTGCAGGATCGTTTGAGACCAGCCACCCAGACAGCTGATGAAACTGTGGGTTTGCAAAAACTGTGGATTTGCACAACCAAATAATTTCATCTGGTCGTCCTCACCAGGGTCTTGACCTGACTGCAGTTCGGCATCGTAACCGACTTCAGTGGGCAAATGCTCACTGGCATGCTGGAGAAGTATGTTCTTCATGGATGAATCCTGGTTTCAACTTTACCGGGCAGATGGCAGACTGCCGATGTCAACGTTGTGAACAGAGTGCCCCTTCGTGGCGGTGGGGTTACTATATGGGCAGGCATAAGCTACGACAACGAACACAATTGCATTTTGAATGCACAAGGATACCATGACGAGATCCTGAGGCCCATTGTCGTGCTATTCATCTGCCGCCATCACCTCATGTTTTAGCATGATAATGCATGGCCCCATGTCGCAAAGATCTGTACATAATTCCTGGAAGCTGAAAATGTCCCAGTTCTTCGATGGCCTACATACTCGCCAGACATGTCACCCATTGAGCATGTTTGGGATGCTCTGGATTGACGTGTACGACAGCGTGTTCAGGTTCCCACCAATATCCAGCTACTTCGCACAGCCATTGAAGAGGAGTGGGACAACATTTCTACAGGCCACAATCAACAGCCTGATCAACTCTATGTGAAGGAGATGTGTCGCGCTGTATGAGGCAAATGGTGGTCACAACAGATACTCACTGGTTATCTGATCCATGCCCCTACCTTTTTTTAAAGGTATCTGTGACCAACAGATGCATATCTATATTCCCAGTCATGTGAAATCCATAGATTAGGGCCTAATTAATTTATTTCAATTGGGTATGTCTATAATTAAGATCGTCTGATTCCTCTGAGAGGGGGAACAGGCCTTTCTATATCTGTTGCCATCTCTCCAGTGAAAAATACATTTTATCTGGCATGTCTTATCATCCATATTGGATTACAGTATTCTGTCTATTCTGATACATAAAACAAAACCTCAGACATGTTTGTGTCCAACACGTGATGAGGCCTATACACTTCATTCATTGAGGTGATGTGAGCATGCCATGAACATGCACTGTAGGCCTCTCTATACAGGACTTTTCCAACCTAAACCTGTTTTGTGCTATAGGCTTTCATTCAGAATGAGGGAGGCATCTCACTCAGTAGCATGGCGCTTACCTTGGTAACCTCCTAGGATACAGTGAATCCATGGAAGTTAAAGGGAGAAATTAAGCAAATTATTGTGCTGCATTTTTTATGTGACCATCACGCACGCGCACACACACCCTGTACACACGCACATCCGTCCGCACGTAGGGAAACAACAACACGCACGCACGCGCTCAAAACCTTACTTTATTGTAGTAATTTAAATAAATGTGCATGCATAGGTGATGAACTAGAGAGAGTAGCCTATTGGGAATAAAAACAGTGGACTACAGATGCAGCGCATGCAGAGAAATAGGACGAGTTTGTCGTTGATGTTGACATGGGGAGCTGAAAATGTAGATGGAAACAGAGATATCGTGCGTCACCATGTAGCCAATTGTTACTGTAATACACCTCCAAAAGAACCAAAACACCCTATGGCCAAACAATTATCCGAAATGTACACATTTATCACAATGCAACGGAGAGAATAGACAGCGGAGGGGAAGAATTGGCTCAATTATCAATTACAGTGGTGACATAAAAGACGCAACAGAACCAGAGAAAAAAAGCTTACCGTGTTTTCCCGACATTTCGTGCGGTCAGAATAAAACTCCCCTCCAAACAATTTAATGTAAATATTCTTATTTCTCCAATATGACTTTTGGTAAATCCTCTCAGGGAAATTTGAAATTATGGAGACTTCAATTTCCAGCTATTTATTTTGTATCTCCACATCCGTGGCCTATAATAACGGTATCACAGGATAACTTTATATGATAAAGGCCAGTTGGAATATCCGATTATAATGACCAATTGGGAAAGAAATGTCAAGTTTATTCACACTCTCTCTGTAGCTGGTACATCCACCGTAATAACGGAAAGTGGGTTTCTCCAATGCATCTCCAGTTACATTGAATTAATCAGACACACAGCTATCGTAGTCTTAAAGAGACAGTCGAGACTGGGAAATACATATGCCACTGAGCTTGAAAACACGAAACAAACCTATTGAAGAGGCGACCCGATATTGGATTTGAATACTTCGTAGACTACGCTGACAACATTTCACTCTTTATTCCTGTGGATGCTGGACGAAGTTTTGAGAATCATCTTGCTGTCATACATGCAACGGCTTGCTGGACATAGGCATGACTCTAGAACTGATGGTGACTTTGATCAGGGTTAGATAGTTGACTGTAAATTACATGAACATGATTATGTTTTACTGTATTTTATAGAATAGGATATGTACAGATTTTTGTTCCTACAGTATTCAGCAAGAGCAGTACTTAACAGTGTCATCATTTAAACCAATGTTAGACTCAGGCATACAGGCACTTAGACATCATCATACAAGACCTTGGGGGACAATAGATGGAAAAAGCACTAAATTGGAACAGCCTACAGTGGATTTTATTACTGTACAAACCATTTCATTCATATCCATCATTCCTACTTTGGTCTGATTTGTTTAAGCGCATTCCCTTTCCATGTCCAGGAATTTCATCAGGACTCATGTAAACAATAGTATGGCCATTCATACTCACCCCCTCACACATACACGCCCTCACTTTCATCCCACACGCACACTGACTGATCCCTTCCTCACACACTCACCCTCTCTTCCACCATGCACACACACACTGATCAAGCTTGGGACTTGGCTCAGGCACCTTGGCACTCTCTCACCTACAACACAGTATCGACATCCTCTCTCTCTTTCTCTCCACGCCCTTCTTTCTTCCCTCCCTCCATTGCCACACTTTCACCTACTATACAAACACTATCTACACCCCTCCTCTCTCTCTCCCTATCTCAGTGTGTGTAGAGCGAGGCGGTGAACACGATGTCTCTGCGGATGGCCAGGGAGGCCTTCTCCATCTTGCTGCCCAGGACCGAGTCTCCCACGATGCGGGCCGCCTGGCGCACCTCCTTCAGCACCTCGTCTAGTCTCTGGATGCAGCGTACCACCGTGCCCTCCTGGACGTCTGTTAACTGGGCAATCTCTGCAAATGGCTGGGACAGGAAATAAGAAGGGACACCAGTTTGTATAGACACAGTTAGTTCAGTACAGGACTGCTGCCTTCTTGGTCTCCCCTGAAAAAGAGTGTGTCTCAATGAGACTTTCCTGGTTAAATAAAAGGTTAAATAAAATAAAGTAGAGGCTAGGACAGGAAGTAGGGATACCAGTTAGTTTAAACTTTAGATACAGTATAGCAGGGTTCCCCAAACTTTTTTGGCTCGTGACCCCATTTTGATGTTGAAAAAAATCCCAGACCCCACCATGTAAAAAGAGTGATGTAATCAACGGCCAATGTTTTTTGAATGGGGCTATGACAGCCTATTACAAATCAGTCTGACAGTACTTCTGACAGTATTTATTTCTGAAGGAAGTATGGTTTGAAGTGACTGAAATGCATCAGAAACTTATTAGGAAGTTCAGAAGATCATCAGGCAATAATTTCGCATGATCTTCTATGTAGAAAATAACAAGATTGATGTTCTTTTTCCCCCCAGTCTGATTTAGTGCTTGATCTTGTCCACTCTCTTCTAATGTGGCTTGTGGGCATTGTAGAGGGAAACAGAAGACACATTCCTGAGAGTCTTATCTTTCAGTGATAGGGTAATAATATTTTGTAGCTTAAACCGTTCATTTGCAGGAAGAAACAGAATCCGCTCTGTTTATTACAAGCGCATCTAGTGGCTACCGAAGGTTACTGACGTAATTCCGGGTCTATGAACCAAGCCCGATTTTTTTATGTTTTATTTCAGAGTTTCTCTCGCGACCCCATTTTCAAATCAGGCAACCCCACACGTGGTTGCAACCCCCAGTTTCGGAAAAGCTGCAGTATAATTTAGTACAGTGCTTTCATAACTTTGAGGGGCCAGTTTCCAGGACAAAGATTAAGCCTAGTTCTGGAGTACAAAGCAATTGAACATGAAAATAAACATTTTTGGTCCAGGACTAGGCTTATTCTTTGTCCGGGAACCCGTTCATGAGTGTCTTGATTGAAATGAGGTCAATCAAGAAGAGTCCAGCATTACAGAGTTAGCTTACGCCACTCACCATGCCTCTGGCCCAGCAGTAGACCACCTCGGTCAGGCCAAACTTGAACTGGCCCACAAATTCTTCTACTGTCTGGGTTATCCCACAGTCCCTCTGCAGCTCCCCAATACGCTGGGCTACCGCCAGCACTCTCTCAATACCCTGTGGGAGAGAGGGAGGGAGGGATGGGGCGAAATAAGAAAGTAATGGACAGGGGACACAGACAGAGTGGGGTAATGTAAGGAGAATGGCAAAGAGAAAGCGAGAGAGCGAGAGAGAGGGGAGGAGAGGGAAAGAGAGGAGAGAGAGACAGAGAAGTTAGGTGGTAGTAATAAAAGGGGGATGGAAAAAGTGGGGTAATACAAGAACAGAGAAGAGTTGAGATTGAGAAAGAGAGAGGGAGAAAGAGAGCAAGGACAGAGACAGAGACAAATACAGACACACAGATTAGTCATACAAGGAGCACTTAAACACATAACATTTTCCAATCAAATCTGCCCTACTTTGCCCACTCCACTCCAACCTCCTCTCTGTTAAAGGGATGTTCCAGTACTTTTGTATACTTTTTAGCCAGTAGTTCGGAAAGTAGCGCTCACGAGCCAAAAGTGGTCCCCGGAAATTGCACTGTCATATATGTGTAGATAAGAGCACGTCATTGCTCTCTTCTCTCTCTGCTGTGTGACCATCTTGCTAGCTGTCACTCATATAGCGAGGGGCTGAAGCTCATTGGTTGAACTCGAATTGCTTGGCGGCTGGCCCACGTGGGGGAAAATGTAGGGAAATTGGCACAGCACAGCTTCCAGAAAATCTAGGGATTCCGTGGTTAATTGAGGTAAGACAGTAATTCTGCTCATAGATTATGCATATATGAACTACACATTGACACATCCAGCTCAAAGTGGGAGTTTAAAAAAAATACTTAGTAGTCGCCAAAGTTCCGGAGCATGTCCTAAAGTGTTATGCTGCATGTCATCAGAAATCCTCCTCAGAGCCCTGTCACCGGTGTTGGGTGAATGTGTTCCCTGTCAGTGTTCACTGTTCAGTGCTGCTCGCCCCTGGGATGGCATCCCTATAAACCACTCCAGACAAGGCTCTCGCCTTGGTCATCACTAATTCAGCCCTCTTTAGAGCACTTCTATGTAGCGGGGCTGCTTGACAACACACACTGACATGGCTGTGTGTGTGTTCAGGAGAGTGTGTGTCAGATGTGGTGCCCTTGCTGCGGGGTAAAGCAGCCGTGTGTGTCTAGCCTGAGCTCATGCCACTGTGTGTGTGTGTGTGTGTGTGTGTATGTGACCAGTACAGCGGCCAGGCTTGCACTACTACAGCCCAGAAGACAACATATCCATCCATGTACATTAAAGATGACACATTGAAATATATAGTTAGAAGAACAAATGTATGTACAGTGAGGGAAAAAAGTATTTGATCCCCTGCTGATTCTGTACGTTTGCCCACTGACAAAGACATGATCAGTCTATAATTTTAATGGTAGGTTTATTTGAACAGTGAGAGACAGAATAACAACAAAAACATCCAGAAAAACGCATGTAAAAAATGTTATAAATTGATTTTTGCATTTTAATGAGGGAAATAAGTATTTGACCCCTCTGCAAAACATGACTTAGTACTTGGTGGCAAAACCCTTGTTGGCAATCACAGAGGTCAGACGTTTCTTGTAGTTAGCCACCAGGGTTGCACACATCTCAGGAGGGATTTTGTCCCACTCCTCTTTGCAGATCTTCTCCAAGTCATTAAGGTTTCGAGGCTGACGTTTGGCAACTCAAACCTTCAGCTCCCTCCACAGATTTTCTATGGGATTAAGGTCTGGAGACTGGCTAGGCCACTCCAGGACCTTAATGTGCTTCTTCTTGAGCCACTCCTTTGTTGCCTTGGCTGTGTGTTTTGGGTCATTGTCATGCTGGAATACCCATCCACGACCCATTTTCAATGCCCTGGCTGAGGGAAGGAGGTTCTCACCCAAGATTTGACGGTACATGGCCCCGTCCATCGTCCCTTTGATGCGGTGAAGTTGTCCTGTCCCCTTAGCAGAAAAACACCCCCAAAGCATAATGTTTCCACCTCCATGTTTGACGGTGGGGATGGTGTTCTTGGGGTCATAGGCAGCATTCCTCCTCCTCCAAACACAGCGAGTTGAGTTGATGCCAAAGAGCTCGATTTCGTCTCATCTGACCACAACACTTTCACCCAGTTCTCCTCTGAATCATTCAGATGTTCATTGGCAAACTTCAGACGGGCCTGTATATGTGCTTTCTTGAGCAGGGGGACCTTGCGGGCGCTGCAGGATTTCAGTCCTTCACGGCGTAGTGTGTTACCAATTGTTTTCCTGGTGACTATGGTCCCAGATGCCTTGAGATCATTGACAAGATCCTCCCGTGTAGTTCTGGGCTGATTCCTCACCGTTCTCATGATCATTGCAACTCCACGAGGTGAGATCTTGCATGGAGCCCCAGGCCGAGGGAGATTGACAGTTCTTTTGTGTTTCTTCCATTTGCGAATAATCGCACCAACTGTTGTCACCTTCTCCCCAAGCTGCTTGGCGATGGTCTTGTAGCCCATTCCAGCCTTGTGTAGGTCTACAATCTTGTCCCTGACATTCTTGGAGAGCTCTTTGGTCTTGGCCATGATGGAGAGTTTGGAATCTGATTGACTGATTGCTTCTGTGGACAGATGTCTTTTATACAGGTAACAAACTGAGATTAGGAGCACTCCCTTTAAGAGTGTGCTCCTAATCTCAGCTCGTTACCTGTATAAAAGACACCTGGGAGCCAGAAATCTTTCTGATTGAGAGGGGGTCAAATACTTATTTCCCTCATTAAAATGCAAATCAATTTATAACATTTTTGACATGCGTTTTTCTGTATTTTTTGTTGTTATTCTGTCTCTCACTGTTCAAATAAACCTACCATTAAAATTATAGACTGATAATTTCTTTGTCAGTGGGCAAACGTACAAAATCAGAAGGGGATCAAATACTTTTTTCCCTCACTGTAATGTATATGTCACAAATCCTGTCTATATCCAATGACCCATTGAGGTCGTTGCACAACCTTCACAACTATAACACATAGGGGACAGACACGAAAACACAAAAGTGTAACCTCAACTCTTCCCTAGTAGACATCAACGAAGCACATTCTACCACCCCAGCACACACACAGGGAGAATCTCAATTGCATTTCATTAAATTCCTTATATCCTCTCTCCTCGCCTTCTCCTTAAAACCCATTGGATGAGAAGGTCAGAGGGGAGGGACCTCTGACCTTCTCATCCAATGGGTTTTGAGAAGGAGGCGAGAAGAGGGGACCCAAGGAATCAAGGAAATGCAATTGAGATTCTCACACGCTCTCATCCCCACCCCTTTCTCCCAACCCGCCCCCAGTCCCCCATACCTCCTGCAGTGTGTTGGTGATGTGGGGCTCCACCTGCGTCTTCTGTTGAAAGACCAGACAGGACAGTAGGGCGGCGCTCTCCTCAGGGGCCAGGGTGCTCAGGGCGTTCTCAAACAGTAGCTCTGTGAGGAGCAGCTCATGGCTACTGATCTGGCAGGCCACCCTGCCCTTCAGCTGCACCGCACCACTACTGTCCACGTACTGCAGGGACTGGAGCACCTGAGGATGGGAGGTAATGCCTTTATTACACTGGTGTTACATATTGATGGTTCGTTCGCAAACTAAAGGCTCTTTTTAAACCTATTTTTGGTGAACGTTGATAAAGTTGTTAATTTGCCTCCCTGATTTGCATCCTGCTACTACCGCTTTTTGAGCTCCAGACAACAATTATATGCAGATAAGTTATAAAACATCTCTGAAGACCAGTGGCGGTCGGTACCATTTAAGATGAGGACAATCATTTTATTTTGGAGCATGGCCTTATTTCTATTACAGCATATTGGATGACTGTCATTCATATTCCATTCACCCAGCTCAATGTAACATTGATAGGTTTAGGCTACTTCATTTACATTTATTTCATTTAGCAGACGCTCTTATCCAGAGTGACTTACAAATTGGTGCATTCAATTAGCCAGTGGGACGACCCCCCCCCCCCCCCTTTTTTTTTTATGGGGTGTGGGGGAAGAAGGATTACTTCATGATACTCTAATTTTCCTTATACCCATTATGATGTTGCTACAACCTAGCTTATGAATGAAAGTTTACAACGTAGGTGCACAGGTGCTGAGGAACACTCTTGCCTGCATCTAGGTGATGTATGGTGTAATCATGGTCCAACAGTTGCAAACAACAGTTTCTATTGGACAAATTCAGGTATGCTCATGTTCAAACCTTCATATCATAACTGCTACACACAGCCTACATCGTCACAATATTAGCTAACGTCATAGTCAACATAGATACTAGAACTAACATGTTAGTAAACCCTCTACAATCATGCAGTACAGTGTACAGTTGGCAAGCAGTTTAGCAGTACACCGGCGGGCCCCGGTGGCAATAAATTAATTAAACCAAAAGCCTACCTTGACTTGGATAGCCATAGCCAGCTAGCTAACATCGCATCCCTCTGTTTGAGCTTGGTGTTTGAGTAGGCTAAACTAGCTAGCTGCATTTGTGAAAGTGAAAAAAATATGCAGCGAAATATAGCCAACTCTCTCTCTCTCTCGCTTCTTATTCATTTTTAAACAAATTAATTTGTTCAAAACGGTTTAACTAATGTCTTTCTCTCCCTTTGAGTCAACTACTCACCACATTTTATGCACTGCAGAGCTAGCTAACTGTAGCTTATGCTTTCAGTACTAGATTAATTCTCTGATCCTTTGATTGGGTGGACAACATGTCAGTTCACGCTGCAAGAGCTCTGATAGTTTGGAGGACGTCCTCCAGAAGTTGTCATAATTACTGTGTAAGTGTATGCAAGGGGGTGAGAACCATGAGCCTCCTAGGTTTTGTATTGAATTCAATGTACCCAGAAGGAGAACAGAAACTAGCTGTCCTCCGGCTACACCATGGTCCTACCCTACAGAGTGCTGTTGAGGCTACTGTAGACCTACATTGCAAAACAGTGTGTTTTAAATCAATTATTTGGTGACGTGATCATATTTAGTATACTTGTATCTAAAAAGGATAACTATTGTTTCACTATTTTTATGAAATTCACTGAGGAGGATGGTCCTCCCCTTCCTCCTCTGAGGAGCCTCCACTGCTGAAGATAGTAATTCCTCACTGCATGAACAATAGATAGTGAGGAGAGAGCCTCTTTCTGGTCCACACACATTTTTGCAGTGCGTAAAAAAATATAAAATAAGGCCATCTAATAATTTGGTCAGGTAAAAATGTATTTGAACTCAACGTCACGATCTGACATAATGGCAGGCAACTTTGTTGGCTTTACATTAGAGATTGGTTTAAGGTACATTTTTAAGCACTACTGAACAAAGAGACGTTTTTTTCTTCCTGTCAAGAATTGGGGGCCTGCATTTTATATTCATAAACCATGTTGCGAACCGCTCTAAAACTATTTGCGGGCCATTAACCATTTGTTTTACACCTTGTTCAGTCATGTTTGTTACCTCATTAGCGAGCTAACAACCTGGTAACTTTACCAGTGCTACCAACAATTTGTTAAAATTTTTAGCCATGCATGTGTATGAACTAGTTCAATCAAATGTAATTTTACATCAGCAGTTGTCAAAAAGTGCTTTACAGATACCCGGACTAAAACCCCAAAGAGCAAGCAATGCAGAGGCTAGGAAAAACTCCCTAGAAGGTAGGAACCTTGGAAGAAAGCTACTGTATGAAAAGTTTTTAGTTGAATATTGGATGTGCATTACGACAATGGGAGTCAGACATACCTTGATTCTCTGGTGGTACTCTGGCAATAGAGACAGGGACTGGTCTGAGATGAGGAAGAGCAGTTTGTCCAGCTCCTCCTGAACACTCAATCTCTCCTGCACCCGCAGAAACTGACAGAAGAAAGTGGACAACATGGCTATTATAGACAATCATTTTATCTATGCACTCTGAACAGCAATAGAAAAGGTCTGTAGAATTATTTCCTCTACAGTGCAACCACTTGATCGCATAGATTGTACAGCAATTTCACCTAATTTACAATACATTTACTGTAGAGACAAGGTTGTACATGGATGTAGGCTATCACACGCACATACAGTGAATTCGGAAAGTATTCAGACGCCTTGACTTTTTGCCAAATGTTGTTACGTTACAGCTTTATTCTAAAATTGATTAAATAAAAAATGTCCTCATCAATCTACACAATACCCCATAATGACAAAGTGAAAACAGGTTTTTAGAAACTTTTGCACATTTATAAAAAATGTAAAACAGAAATACAATTTTTAAATAAGTATTCAGACCCAAGCTCTGTCAGGTTGGATGGGGAGCGTCGCTTCACAGCTATTTTCAGGTCGCTCCAGAGATGTTCGATCGGGTTCAAGTCCGGGCTCTGGCTGGGCCACTCAAGGACATTCAGAGACTTGTCCCGAAGCCACTCCTGCGTTGTCTTGGCTGTGTGCTTAGGGTTGTTGTCCTGTTGGAAGGTGAACCTTTGCCCCAGTCTGAGGTCCTGAGAGCTCTAGAGCAGGTTTTCATCAAGGATCTCTCTGTACTTTGCTCCGTTCATCTTTCCCTCGATCCTGATTAGTCTCCCAGTCCCTGCTGCTGAAAAACATCCCCACAGCATAATGCTGCCATCACCATGCTTCACCGTAGGGATGGTGCCAGGTTTCCTCCAGAAGTGACGCTTGGCATTCAGGCCAAAGAGTTCAATCTTGGTTTCATCAGACCAGATAATCTTGTTTCTCATGGTCTGAGAGTCTTTAGGTGCCTTTTGGCAAACTCCAAGCGGGCTGTCATGTACCTTTTACTGAGGAGTGGCTTCCGTCTGGCCACTCTACCATAAAGGCCTGATTGGTGAAGTGTTGCAGAGATGGTTGTCCTTCTGGAAGGTTCTCCCATCTCCACAGATGAACTCTAGAGCTCTGTCAGAGTGACCATCGGGTTCTTGGTCACCTCCTTCTCCCCCGATTGCTCAGTTTGGCAGGGCGGCCAGCTCTAGGAAGAGTCTTGGTGGTTCCAAACTTCTTCCATTTAAGAATGATGGAGGCCACTGTGTTCTTGGGGGCCTTCAATGCTGCAGAAATTTGTTGGTACCCTTCCCCAGATCTGTGCCGACACAATCCTGTCTCGGAGCTCTATGGACAATTCCTTCGACCTCATGGCTTGGTTTCTGCTCTGACATGACCTGTCAACTGTTGGACCTTATATAGAGAGGTGTGTGCCTTTCCAAATAATGTCCAATTAATTGAATTTACCACAGGTGGACTCCAATGAAGTTGTAGAAACATCAATGATGATCAATGGAAACAGGATGCACCTGAGCTCAATTTCGAGTCTCACAGCAATGGGTCTGAATACTTATTTAAATAAGGTATTTCTATTTTGTATTTGTAATACATTTGTACAAATTTCTAAAAACCTGTTTTCGCTTTGTCATTATGGGGGATTGTATGTAGATTGATGAGGGGAAAAAACAATTTAATACATTTTAGAATAAGGCTGTAATGTAACAAAATGTGAAAGGAGTCAAGGGGTCTGAATACTTTCCGAATTATTGGACCCCTTGATAAAGATAAGCAAAAAAGAATGTATAAAATAAATAATACAACTACTGAGCTATATTGTATACTACAGATAATTGAACAATTATATTATTTTATACTAATACAATTGTTTAGAGAAAGAGATTTTGTTTAACAAGTAATAATATATATTTTATTTTATTTATTATTGGATCCCCTGTTTTCTAAAATGTTCTATGAGATTGGAGAACACATTGGGAGGGATCGTAGGCCATTCCTCCATACAGAATCTTTCCAGATCCTTGATATCCTTCATCTGTGCTTATGGACTGCCCTCTTCAATTCAAACCACAGGTTTTCAATGGGGTTCAAGTCCAGAGACTCCTTATAAAATACCCATTTTGGACACTGCACGTTATTAGAGAGAGAGGATAGCTCACACACACTATCGCTACCTCCCAAAGAAATTGGAGCCCAGCAGCAGCAGCACCACAGCCTACTGTCTGACTGAGCCATGGATCGAATGATATGCAGTCCTAATGCATCCCCTCAGTGAGACAGACAGTGGTGATGTGTGACTCTGCACTGCCTAAACAGGTCATTATAGAATTCCCTGCTCTGCTGTTCTCATCTCATCCTTATCCTGGAACAAGGCGGTAGACTTGCACGAGCCGGAACGGCTCATATGAGCAGGAGCCTATCTCCTGGTTCTGTAGCTTGAGTCAGCTTGATGTACAAGTACTTCGCTAGTCTATCGCAGGGCCTAACCCCCAATATATCTCCTTAATGCTGAGTGCCAAGCAGAGACGCAGCGGGTCCCATTTTTACAGTCTTTGTTATGACTCGGCTGGGGATCGAACTCCCAACCTTCTAATCTCAGGGCTGACACTAACCACAAGGCCACTGAGTTGGCCACTGAACAAGGCAGGGAAATATCTAACAAGGCTTAGTTTTACAATGCTTAGTGCAGGCCCAAAGAAATTACAGTCTGATGTAATTACTATGAGAAATCAGTATAGAAAGAGGCCAGGGCTTGTATTCATAAAGTGTCTCAGAGTAGGAGTGTTGATCTAGGATCAGGTCCACACTGTCCATGTAATCGAATTCATTATGATCAAAAAGACAATAAGGGATCCTATATCAGCATTCCTACTCTGAGACCCTTTGTTAATACGGGCCCCGGGCTATTGATTGAAACAAAGAAAGAAGGGAGAGAGAATGAAGTGGAAAAGATAGAGGGAAAGAGAGGCAGACAGAGGAGGACGCAGGTGTGTGGAGACAGTCAGTCTGTCAGACCTGTCTCTGTTCATTATATGAGTGCTCCAACATCATTACTGCAATGTCAGGACAGTGTTTGGAAGTGACACTCACACACAAACGCACATGCGCACACACACCTGTTCTGAGAAGGTGGGTGAGTGGATGCAGTTGAAGTCTTTGAGGCTGTCCTGCAGCACGCGCAGCCTTATGGTGCCCTCCACCACATCCACACTCTTCAGCTGGAAGTCGTTCACTGGGTCAAGGGTCACCAACCCGCCTGGGTTGGCCTCCGCCAATCGCAGGAGCTCCTGGGTTGCCGTGGAGATGGCTTGGCCCGGAGGATCAAGCCTGTGAGAAATGGAGCGAGGGGGAAAGGATGGAAGGAAGGAGGGAAAGATGAAAATAGACTCAAGAGTGGTGTCTCTTTTTTCTGTGCAACAAAGATGCTATTCGAAAAAGGAAGGTAGATGGATAGACACTTGAGTGGTCATGATGACATCACACATATAAACACCTCCTTTGCCTAGATAAACATGGTTGTGTTGGCTTAGTGGAGCGACAATGTGCAAAAAGGCTGAAACATACTGTATACGCTACATGATAATGCATGAATGCACACACACACACACACACACACACACACACACACACACACACACACACACAGTGTCACACATACACTGACACACACACCTGAAGCGCGGCTGCTGTCTCTTGTTGTAGTTGTCGATGATTCGGTCAGGGATCACCTTAAGGGTCTTGACTGTGATGGCTGACACGTCCTGTAGCTTCAGCTTCTGGACCGTGTGACTACAGGGACCTAATCGGCGGATCATACAGAACATACAAAATCGTTATCGGTTATTCAGTTTAAGCTTATGTGGGCTTGTTAGTTAGTGTTAGCATGTGTGTGTGTGTGTTTAAGTAGCCGTGTGTGTATTCAAATAGCTGTGTGTGTGTGTTCAAATAGCCGTGTGTTTGTGTGTTTAGGCAGCGGTGTGCGTGTGTGTGTTTATTGGTAAATGTGTCTGTCTCTAATAGGGAGAGGATGAGCATCAATCAGTGTGTGTGTGTGTGTGTGTGTGTGTGTGTGTGTGCGCATGCATGTTTGCATAAATAAATATGTGCATGAACTGACCTTCAGGTATAAAGAGGGCAGTGTTGTAGAGGTGGGGGAAGGCACTGGCGTTGAGGCTGTCCCCTCTTCCCTCCTCGTTGCCTTTCTCACAGATGATGAGAGCAGTAAACGTACGATTCACTGAGTCGCTGGACACCTGGGAGAGAAATTAAAGAACGGAAGGGTGAGAAAGGAGAATGATAAATGCATTACATGCCTTTGTCACCTAAAAAAAGTTGCATTCCACACACACAGACAGACAAACAGACACACACACCTGTAGGAGGACTCCGAGGGCGTTGAAGTGCTGTTTGTTGTTGACCACTACCACCCGTCCCACGGAGAGAGCTTTCAACCCATTCACGGACCCCAGAACTGCACACTGAAAGATGGACAATTAACTAATCTTAGTGATGTTGTAATTTTTTTTCAAATGACACTTTTGCACATTCAATTATATTGAGTTGTTTTGTGAAGTAGTTTGAGCTTGAGTGTTTTAAGATAGTGTGTGTGTCTGTGGGCACATGTGTGTCTTTGTGTGTGTGTGTGTGCGCCTCTACAGTATGTTGTGTGTGTACCTGCAGCGCCTCAGCGGTGATGCGTAGCTCAGTGACAGTGTAGTAGTATGGCAGCAGGTCAGACAGCTGACCCTCCGTGTCCAGAGGAGGGAGAGAGGACAGAGTCTGTTTCAACTGACCTATCTGCTGCTCATGGGCCTGAGAGAAAGACAGGAGAAGGAGGAAAACATAAGATATACTTTTATTAGTTCAAATGGACTGGGAATTTGTCTTCTGCTTTTTTTTGTTTTCAAACCCCTCTGATATACACACACAAATACAAACAAACATACAGTAGCAGTCAAAAGTTTGGACACACCTACTCATTCAAGGGTTTTTCTTTATTTTTTTACTATTTTCTACATTGTAGAATAATAGTGAAGACATCAAAACTATGAAATAACACATCTGGAATCATGTAGTATGCAAAAAAAGTGTTAAACAAATCAAAATGTATTTTATATTTGAGATTCTTCAAATAGCCACCCTTTGCCTTGATGACAGCTTTGCACACTCTTGGCATTCTCTCAACCAGCTTCATGAGGTAGTCACCTGGAATGCATTTCAATTAACAGGTGTGCCTTGTTAAAAGTTAATTTGTGGAATTTATTTCCATATTAATGCATTTGAGCCAATCAGTTGTGTTGTGACAAGGTAGGGGGGTATACAGAAGATAGCCCTATTTGGTAAAAGACCAAGTCCATATTATGGCAAGAACTGCTCAAATAAGCAAAGAGAAATGACAGTCCATCATTACTTTAAGACATGAAGGTCAGCCAATACGGAACATTTCAAGAACTTTGGAAGTCCCAGAGTTACCTCTGCTGTAGAGGATACATTCATTAGTTACCAGACTCAGAAATTGCAGCCCAAATAAATGCTTCACAGAGTTCAAGTAACAGACACATCTCAAATTGCTGCAAAGAAACCATTACTAAAGGACACCAATAAGAAGAAGAGACCTGCTTGTGCCAATAAACACGAGCAATGGACATTAGACCGGTGGAAATGTGTCCTTTGGTCTGGAGTCTAAATTTGAGTTTTTGGTTCAAACCGCTGTGTCTTTGTGAGACACGGTGTGGGTAAACGGATGATCTCCGCATGTGTAGTTCCTACCGTAAAGCATGGAGGACGTGGTGTTATGGTGTGGGGGTGCTTTGCTGGTGACACTGTCTGTGATTTATTTAGAATTCAAGGCACACTTAACCAGCATGGCTACCACAGCATTCTGCAGCGATACGCCATCCCATCTGGTTTGGGCTTAGTGGGACTATCATTGGTTTTTCAACAGGACAATGACCCAAACACCTCCAGGCGGTGTAAGGGCTATTTTTACCAAGAAGGAGATTGATGGAGTGCTGCATCAGATGACCTGGCTTCCACAATCCATCAACCTCTACCCAATTGAGATGGTTTGGGATGAGTCGGACCGCAGAGTGAAGGAAAAGCAGCCAACAAGTGCTCAGCATAAGTGGGAACTCCTTCAAGACTGTTGGAAAAGCATTCCAGGTGAAGCTGGTTGAGAGAATGCCAAGAGTGTGCAAAGCTGTCATCAAGGCAAAGGGTGGCTATTTGAAGAATCTCAAATATAAAATATATTTTGATTTGTTTAACACTTTTTTGGTTACTACATGATTCCATATGTGTTATTTCATAGTTTTGTTGTCTTCACTATTAATCTACAATGTAGTAAATAGTAAAAATAAAGAAAAATCCTTGAATGAGTAGGTGTGTCCAAACTTTTGACTGGTACTGTATATATTTCATATATTTACCAAAACATATATGGGGTATTGGAAATTATGCAGACAATTACATTGATGGAAACCACAATCTGCAATATTAAAGCTAATCACATTTTTTAAAACTGGTAGTCCTCAACTGTCGTGTCATCCATTATCTCTAGTATTTTGTCCCAAGTGCTTGTGGGTAATGTAGTACAGTACCTGTGTGTCTCTGTGGCTCTCAGAGAAGCTCCTCCTCATCATGTCGGTGACTCGGAGGGCCTCCACACGCAGCAGGTTGAGGATCATGGTGTAGGTCAGCCTGAACTGGGACTGCAGCACTGTGGGCTTCCCCTTGACGACAAAGAAGAAGTGTCATTAAAATGCATGTCACTTCTATGTTGTAGACACTAAAAATAAGAAGAAATGGAGGTAATGGAGCAGGAACCTTTCAATGTTGATTGAGAAAGGTTAGTGCTAGATCACTCAGGGTGGAGGTACGGAGGATGAAGTTGAGTATTTCTAAATCATATAGACAGTTACAATAAGCATTTAGCAATTAGCAAAGCAAACAACTACATTTTCCCCTGATGATCTGATCAGGTAAAACTCTGGGCCATAGTTATACAGTAACAGTTAGCGATTAGTTACCGCTGCTATCTAGCATAAGGCTAAAACAATTGATCCGAAGATTGATCCAACAATGGCAGTTGGCAGCGAGAGGGTGATAGAGAGATATGATCATGTTTCGTACAGTACAGTTTAGAGGATTTTTCATATCCTTGATCTTGCAACAGGAGGACCAATTCAGGATAGAAATAGTCCACTCCAAAGCCCCACATTAAATAGGTTGGTTAAAAATAAGGCCCTTGACAGTTTAATGAGGCACTTGTTTATACTGTACAAGCTAGCATGCAGCAAACCTAGAGGAGCAGTGTATGGCTGTTTCACAAATGGCACGCTATTCCCAAACCCTACATAGTGCACTACTTTTGACCAGTTCCCTATGGGCCCTGGACAAAAGTAGTGCACTACATAGGGCATAGGATGCCAATTGGTACACAGCCTATGTTTTGATGTTCTGTACAATGGAGGAGCACTTACAGGGCGAGCTAGATGGAAACTGTTGAGGGATTTTGGATTTAAATACCAATTATGGGATTTTTATTATCATATCCTTGGTAGAATAGCAATCCCTTTTTAATTCTATGAGCTATCCCCTCACCCTTGGGAAAAGTAAGCCAAGTAATACCCTTGTAAAAAAAGAAGCGACTGATGTAGTGCAGCGGTTCCCAAACCTTTTCTTTCCGGGGACCACCATATAATTGTCAAAAGCTTGCGGAGTCGCAGATTTTTTTAAACATAAAATATTTTAGCGGTCAAATTTAGAATCAATTTGATCAGTGAATGTAAGCGATTAAAGGCCTATTATTACAGATGGATGTTTATTAAACAATTTGTATTGCGAAAAGTAATGTAGAATTGTTAAAAAATCATTAATACTCCCAACTGTGGCAGGTAGCCTAGCGGTTAAAAAGAGTATTGGGCCAGTAACCGAAAGGTCGCTGGTTCGAATCCCCAAGCCTGCAAGGTTGAAAAATCTGCTGTTCTGATGACGTGGACGATGATTAAGGCAATCCCCTGCACCTCTCATATTCAGAGGGGTTGGGTTAAATGAGGAAGACAGATTTCAGTTGAATGCATTCAGTTGTACAACTGACTAGGTATCCCCCTTTCCTTTCCTTTTTGGAAGAAAAAATAAATAAAAAATTGACTTGAAAAAGCAATATCATCTGCCTGGTTCTTAATTGTATCTTTTATTTGCCGCTTCGCTCTGCTCTATGTGCTTATAGAGTACCCTGGGGTTCAGATCAAGTATCATATATGAACAGCATGGACATAGTCTCCAACAAATTATATATATATATATATATTCCTGCTCAAAGCAACATATCACCAATCAATTCAAAATGGAACTAAGATATCGCAACAGTAGATATTAACTGGAGTACTGTCTGGTCCAACATTAACATTCTCATCAAGAAACACAAATCACCAAATGGCCCACTACAATTTGGAATACGAGTTATGAGACTCCCCAAAAACTTTTTCAGATGAACATAAATTCAACCCCCGTCTGTATGCTCTTCCCCCAGGGTGCGAGTCCTGGCACATTCATTCATATGGTCTGGGAGTTCCCAGAGGTTTTTTCCTTTTGGCAATCTGTGGCTTCATCATAATCAAGCATTTTGTCTAAATCCATCCCAAGTCTTTCCAATGTGCTACTGCTTAATGATGACTTCACTGAACCTAACATACAGGCAAAGAAGGATTTGGCTTGCCGGCCTAACCGCAGCCAAGAGAATGGTTGCCTTACGATGGCAAGCCACACACATTCTGCCACATCAGCAATGGAGTTCCTCCTTCATGGACATTGCACAACTTAAACTTATCAATCTCTCGACTGCATGGTGCAAAATCAGACAATATTAACATATGGACTACAACACTTAACAGTTTAAAATGACTACTTTGATATATGCACTCAAGTAAGCAGGTCCTGCATGTGGGAAGAGGAAAGGGATGGGGGGGGGGGTTACATGTGTATAATGTATGTTGGTTTGTTTGTCCTGTCAAACAAAAAATTCTAAAAACTTCAGCACAAAAATACATTACAAAAATAAATCACAGACCACCAGTGGTCCACTGATGTAGTGGTATTGAATGGAAGAAGACAGTACATTCTGATGGAAGCCTTACCAGCATCATGACATGTAGGTCCCCCATTTCATGTACCCCTGACTTGCAGAGGATGATGACAGTGCCTGTGGCATCCAGACCTCTCCTACCTGCTCTACCAGCCATCTGTATATACTCACCTGAGAGAGAGAGCAATAGCGAGAGAGAAGAGAGCGACAGAGAGTGAGTGACAGAGGGAGAGAGAGCGACAGAGAGAGAAAGAAAGTGACAGAGAGAGGCAAATAGGTTAGTCATATGAAACTAAGAGCTCTTAAACATGTAGAAAAACATCCATTCTATTTTCTCCTTTCCACTCAAAAATCTGAGAGAAAGCGAGAGATTGAAGTGGCATCGGATTAAAATACTGCCTGTAAGCACTCATGCTCTGCTTTTCTATCAGTTTCAAAATCTGTGCAAAAATGTGCAAATCAGCTGTTAATTCTAGAGTGCCTTCAACAACATTATTTGGGTCATTCATTGATTTTTCTTTTGCTATAATGAAAGTGTTGATGTTATGTTTGCTTCACAGAGAGAGAGTGAGGGAGACAGACCGACCGACAGAGGCAGGCAGAAAGAGAGAGAGAGAGAGAGAGAGAGAGAGAGAGAGAGAGAGAGAGAGAGAGAGAGCCAGAGCCAGAGAGAGAGCCAGAGCCAGAGCCAGAGCCAGAGCCAGAGCCAGAGCCAGAGCCAGAGAGAGAGAGAGAGAGAGAATGAAAAGGATGTTATGTAGGGATGAAACGGTTCACCAAACCCATGGTTTGGTAGGTATTGTGGTCACGGTTCAGTTTCGGGAACAGCAGGAAAACGAAATTCCAATAGTTACTGTAGTTGATTTTTGTTTATTTAAGAAAATACAAAGTGTTGGTATTCCTGATTCCATATATGATCATGAGTCACATAATGCCTGATGAGGGCACAATCAAGAGTACCAACACTTTGTATTTTCTTAAATGAAAACACATGATTACTCATCAACAACACTAAAAATAAAGTGCAATATCTGTGTGAAACCAATATGTAAACATGGCTCAGACATTGTATTGGCCTATGCTATAACGTTTTCTTAAAAAGAGAAAAATATGCGCACTTCTGTGACTCTCATAAAGGGTGCGTGTCTGTAGCACGGTACTTCTCATTTCCCACTCCGCAGTAATGTGATGGGCTGTCACTGTTAAGTAGCTCTGTGTAGACCTGGAGGTCCATCCATCTGTAGTAAGCGCAACCCAGGGTGCATTAGCCAATTCATTGACAACTTCGGCTTTAGCTTGCTTGTACAGAGCTGGTACTACCTGTTTGCTGAAATGGGTGTGAGAGCGAGAAGCTCGTAACGTTGCTCGAGCACTTTCACGAGGTGATGAAACACCCTTTCTTCTCAACCACCGACAATGGGTGCAAATCAGTGGCTATAAACAGACCTATCTTGTAATTTATTTGGCACGGTCAGAATTAGCTGCGAAGGGCTGCTTGAATGCAGGAGGGAGACAAAGTTGTGTTGTTCTTTTTGTGTTTCCGTCTTACTCCGGTGGTAGGAATACTAGGGTGATGTCTAGATAGGCTATTCTCGTTTAACAGTGGCGACAAACTATCTTTGTCCATCCCCATTGTAATCTACTGGGAAGCCAAATTGTTCCCAAACTGGAGATTTTAACGATGAAGAATCTTCCTGGTTTATCGAACTCACCACTCGCCATAGTACAGAACTAGATCCCGGCTGCGCCTCACAAAAGAACCGTTTGAAATGCGCCAATTAAGATTTGAATTTTGATTACAATTTGCGTATTGGCTGTAGTTGTTTTAACCGAATAGCCTGAAATCTTTTTTTCAGCTGAATTACTCAAGAGGCATAGAACGCAACGTAGGCATAGCCTATAAGCCTAGTGTTTTTATTTTTGTTATATATTTTTAATGTATTCATTACGGTTCACAGTGCAGAACGAAACGAGGTCCCTGTACCGAACGGTTCGGTACTAATACGTGTACCATTAAACCCCTAATGTTGTGTATATAAACGTGTGAGGAGGAAGGGAGAGTACCAGGCAGCAGGTTTCTGAAGCCGGTACCATCGTGTTTCCGTATGCTGTCAAACACCACGGTCCTCGCAGGCATGTTCACTCCCATAGCAAATGTCTCAGTGGCAAACAGAACCTGAGGGATATACATTTATTGTAACGTGTGTTAAGACTTTGTTAAATGCACTTTAAATACACTTTGAGTTGATGAATTTGTCTTCTGCTTTTTTTTGTTTTCAAACCCCTCTGATATACACACACAAATACAAACAAACATACTGTACCAGTCAAACGTTTGGACACACCTACTCATTCCAGGGTTTTTCTTTATTTGTACTATTTTCTACATTGTAGAATAATAGTGAAGACATCAAAACTATGAAATAACACATATGGAATCATGTAGTAACCAAATAAGTGTTAAACAAATCAAAATATATTTTATATTTGAGATTCTTCAAATAGCCACCCTTTGCTTTGATGACAGCTTTGCACACTCTTGGCATTCTCTCAACCAGCTTCATGAGGTAGTCACCTGGAATGCATTTCAATTAACAGGTGTGCCTTGTTAAAAGTTAATTTGTGGAATTTCTTTCCTTCTTAATGCGTTTGAGCCAATCAGTTGTGTTGTGACAAGGTAGGGGTGGAATACAGAAGATTATTTGTTAAAAGACCAAGTCCATATTATGGCAAGAACATATTACGGACAGTCCATCCTTACTTTAAGACATGAAGGTCAGTCAATCCGGAAAATGTCAAGAACTTTGAAAGTTTCTTCAAGTTCAGTTGCAAAAACCATCAAGCGCTTTGATGAAACTGGCTCTCATGAGGACTGCCACAGGAAACGAAGACCCAGAGTTACCTCTGCTGCAGAGGATAAGTTAATTAGAGTTAACTGAACCTCAGATTGCAGCCCAAATAAATGCTTCACAGGGTTCAAGTAACAGAGACATCTCGACATCAACTGTTCAGAGGAGAATGCGTGAATCAGGCCTTCAAGGTCAAATTGCTGCAAAGAAACCACTACTAAAGGACACCAATAAGAAGAGACTTGCTTGGGCCAAGAAACATGAGCAATGGACATTAGACCGGTGGAAATCTGTCCTTTGGTCTGATGAGTCCAAATTTGAGATTTTTGGTTCCAACTGCCGTGTCTTTGTGAGACGCAGAGTAGGTGAACGGATGATCTCTGCATGTGTGGTTCCCACCTTGAAGCATGGAGGTGGTGGTGTGACGGTGCTTTGCTGGTGACACTGTCTGTGATTTATTTAGAATTCAAGGCACACTTAACCAGCATGGCTACCACAGCATTCTGCAGCGATACGCCATCCCATCTGGTTTGGGCTTGGTGGGAATATCATTGGTTTTTCAACAGGACAATGACCCAACACACCTCCAGGCTGTGTAAGGGCTATTTGACCAAGAAGGAGAGTGATGGAGTGCTGCATCAGATGACCTGGCCTCCACAATCCCCCGACCTCAACCCAATTGAGCTTGTTTGGGATGAGTTGGACCGCAGAGTGAAGGAAAAGCAGCCAACAACTACTCAGCATATGTGGGAACTCCTTCAAGACTGTTGGAAAAACATTCCTCATGAAGCTGGTTGAGAGAATGCCAAGAGTGTGCAAAGCTGTCATTTTGATTTGTTTAACACTTTTTTGATTACTACATGATTCCATCTGTGTTATTTCATAGTTTTGACATCTTCACTATTATTCTACAATGTAGAAAATAGTAAAAATAAAGAAAAACCCTTGAATGAGTAGGTGTGTCCAAACTTTGGACTGGTACTGTAGGTAGAGGATGTAAGTTAGGACTTGTAATCAGACATGGCATTTCAGGAAATTGACAAATCGTCACACTGATTCAAAAAACAGACCAATACGATTCACCTTTACTAGCCCCCGCGAGAACAGCATCTCAATGACCTCCTTCAGGATTGGCAGGATGCCACTGTGATGCACGCCGATCCCCCTCTTCAGTAGGTCCCTCATCAACAGGATCTACAACATAGGAAGGGTTGGTAACAACAATTCCTAGGTTATATATCCAAAAGTTCAATCTATGTGCTACGATTGGCTATAATATGGAATAATAATTCCGCAGCCCTGTGAGCCGAATTCATTGCATTGTTGATGGTTGCATGAAACATTTTCCAAGGAACAATAGAATATGATAGGCAGGTCTTAGTTCTCCCAGATAACCGGCCCCAGCCAGAGTGCAGCATACCTGGGGCAGCTGGCGGTCCCCTCCCCTGAGGCGGCTCAGGCTCTTCTGGAAAAAGGAGTGGATCTCGCTCTTCTCCACTGAGCTGGTGAGGTCCATGGAGGTTAGAGAGCGGGCATTGTCGTCGCAGCGCGTCCTGGAGAAGGTGAACGCCACCACGGGGGTCTGCTGGCGCTGGGACAGGAAGTGGAGGAGAGAAAGCCACACCGCCCGGTCCTGGTGGAGAGAGATGGAGAGAGGGATGAGAAAATGGAGTGAGAAGGAAAGAGTAAAAAATGATACAGAGAGAAGATGGCCAATGGAGACATGGCAAAGTGGAGAAGATGTTCAAAAACTGACAGAAGACCTATGATGGGAATGAGTGAGTGACAGAGAGAGGGGGCTTTACTTTCGGCTGGTGTTAAGGCGGTGCTAGTGTCAAACGCACGTTCATTGGCAATTTCGACCTGTTAAAGCCAGCTCTCTTCCATTTTCAAACTTGCACAAGGATTGGTAATTTACCTGTCTTTTATCAGCTTGCTTTTGCTCAGATGGGAGGGGTGGAAATATTTGAGGTGTGTCCTTAAAAACGTGATCCAAAGTGCTAATTGCAGGCAGTGCTGGTAGGGATATTTAAGACCAACCAAAAGCTGGTTTAAGCGGTAACGCGGTTGGTTATAGCATGAATTTTGATAGCGGAAACTCAGCCTATCCAGCCGTGACGCACTCTGCCCATTTGTGCATGGAACAAGAGTAATGTGCTTTCGGTGCCTGTATACTTCATATTTAGAAACATATATATTTAATTTTTTCCCCAATTTCATTTTATTTGATTAAAAACCAAGTATAGCCTCAACTGCTCTCAATGAAGGCAATCCTTTTGGGGGTCCTGCCCATTGCAATTTCCAAGTAGTCAAGACTGTTGATAAAGGGTTTGGCTCGTGAAACCTGTTTTCGCTTTGTCATTATGGGTTATTGTGTGTAGATTGATGAGGGAAAAATTTATTTAATCAATTTTAGAATAAGGCTGTAACGTAACAAAATGTGGAAAAAGTCAAGAGGTCTGAATACTTCCGAATGCACTTTATGTATTGTAGAAAGGCCTACATTATTTTAGCCATGCAGCTCCGTTTTAGACGTGCGTAAAACCCTCCATAGTCTGTTGCCTTGTCTGTATTATACGCCTATGAGGAGCAATTATGGTGCCTGTAACTGTATTTAGACATAGCCTATTTGAAATAAGTTGTTGTTTCGTTTTTATTTGAATTTGATTGGACTGCAAACATGTTCAACATATTGTGAAAATATGGGGCAGGCTATTTAACGTACTAGGCTATAACAGACTAACATTCAAACTGGAATTGATGACAACACAATAACTGAAAGACCGTAAATACACAACTTGAAGCAACCACATACTTAGCCATATTTAGCCATGAAGCACGTTCTGATTGGCCAGTGAGGAGGCAAGCCTCGACACACTCACAACTTGTTTACTCATCAAAACCCAGCCCTTTCGCGCCACTGCAAGGAACTGCGCCCACAATTATGGTTGTGAAAATAGCAACAATATTTCTGACACACCCCGGACCTATAGCGCTACTGCCAGCGCTAGGTTTGTTCAAATAGAGCCCAGAGAAAGTAGGGGTGATATTCTGTACCTGGTTGGGTGTAGTGTTCTGAGATGCATTTTTCGTCCCAAAGGACTGGGCGTGTTTACTGGTGCGTTCCTTTTTGGCATCTATAGCAGCATAGTACCTTAAAACAAAGAAACCACCAAACATTAAAAAGTTATCACTACATCACTCTCCATGACAACTAGAGCTGGCCATAAGGACAAAAAGCCATATCACTATAAATTGACTGATTATCACGATAACGATAAATTGAATGATACGTTTACAACAAGAATGTACTTTTTATATTACCTTTAAAACTACTACTACTACTTTGAATGCTGTGGCTATCAATTGTCCTTTTAGCAATAGTAGCAGACATTTTATTTCAAACTTCACATTCCTCTAGTAAAGGCTACTTATCTTTATTATCGATATCAGTAAACTGTCCTCGATAAATTGTCGGTTCGGTCGGTATGGATCATTTTCTGATTATCATCCAAGTTGTTATGAGGCCAGGTGTGTGTGTGTGTGTGTGTGTGTGTACTTACCCTTTGGTTTGGAAGTTGCCTGTAGGGTCCAGCAGTAAAAACATCTCCTTCTGGGTCTTGGTGCTGTTGCCAGTGTACAGGTAATGTTCCAGAGGCACAGGTCTCTTCGCTGTGCTGATCACGTAGATGTGCTTCTTCTTAATGCGCCTGGAAAGGAGAGGGGGAAGGGAGAGGAGAAACTAAAGCATCCATACACAACTCAAAGACATCATTCCACTCATAGACTAGAGGCCAAGCACAACATTGAACACACACTATAAATGCTCCATACTGTGACCATAGCAATGGCTATTACTGTCCTTTACCTAGGGCCAGGAGTTTTTTCTAACCACACGACTTGACCAACAAATACTCTGGGCCCTTGAACTAGGGCCCAGAGTTCTTCCTCAGTAGGTCATGTACTCAAGAAAACTTGCATGGTTTAACAGTGTCTTTCCCAACATACACTACATGACCAAAGGTATGTGGACACCTGCTCGTCGAACATCTCATTCCAAAATCATAGGCATTAATATGGAGTTGGTCCCCCCTTTGCTGCTATAACAGCCTCCACTATTCTGGGAAGGCTTTCCACTAGATGTGGGAACATTGCTGCGGGGACTTGCTTTACACCACTCCAGCTGACGCTTGGCAATGCGCATGATGATCTTAGGCTTGTGTGTGGCTGCTCAGCCATGGAACCCCATTTCATGAAGCTCCCGGCGAACAGTTATTTTGCTGACGTTGCTTCCAGATGCAGTTTGGAACTCGGTAGTGAGTGTTGCAAATACCGAGTTCCAGCACTCGGCGGTCCCATTCTGTTAGCTTGTGTGGCCTACCACTTCGCGACTGAGCCATTGTTACTCCTAGACGTTTCCACTTCACAATAACACCACTTACAGTTGACCGGGGCAGCTCTAGCACAGCAGAAATTTGACTATGGAGGTTGCATGGCTGTGTGCTCGATTTTATACACCTGTCAGAAACGGGTGTGGCTGAAATAGCTGAATCAACTAATGTGTCCACATACTTTTGTATATATAGAGTACATGCTTTGGGTTTGGTGATGACAGGTGTTAAGATGGGGTGATCAGGAGAACAGTAGGCAATAGTTGACAACGTACCCGATCCACTCACTGAACTCCACAGCGTTAGGGACAGTGGCACTCAGCAGAATAATGCTGACGTGGTCGGGTAACATGATCAAAACTTCCTCCCACACCACTCCTCTCTAAGAAGGAGAGAAAAACAGAAAGGGAGGGAAAGAAAACGGAAGAGAATGAGATTTAGTGACATGTGATTGACTAAAACAGTGAGAGGGGAAGGTTTTGAGACTGAGGCTTCTCTGTTACCTCAGCATCATTGATGTAGTGAACCTCGTCAAAGATCACCCACTCTAAATCTCTGATGACCTCTGAACCGTTATAGAGCATGGACCTACAAGAGAGAGAGGGAGGGAGAATGTGTCAGTCAAACAGTATATGGAAAAGCATCACTCAGTGTTACATAGAGTTAGTAAGCTGAAGTGGCTTGCAAAAGTATTCAACCCTCTTGGCATTTTTCCTATTTTGTGGCCTTACAACCTGGAATTAAAATTGATTTTTGGGGGGTTTGTATCATTTGATTTACACAACATGCCTACCACTTTGAAGATGCAAAATATTTTTTCTTGTGAAACAAACAAGAAATAAGACAAAAAAACGGAAAACTTGAGCGTGCATAACTATTCACCCCCCCAAAGTCAATACTATGTAGAGCCACCTTTTGCAGCAATTACAGCTGCAAGTCTCTTGGTGTATGTCTCTATAAGCTTGGCACATCTAGCCATTGGGATTTTTGCCCATTCTTCAAGGCAACACTGCTCCAGCTCCTTCAAGTTGGATGGGTTCCGCTGGTGTACAGCAATCTTTAAGTCATACCACAGATTCTCAATTGGATTGAGGTCTGGGCTTTGACTAGGCCATTCCAAGACATTTAAATGTTTCCCCTTAAACCACTCCAGTGTTGCTTTAGCAGTATGCTTTGGGTCATTGTCCTGCTGGAAGGTGAACCTCTGTCCCAGTGTCAAATCTCTGGAAGAATCCCTCAAGAATTTCCCTGTATTTAACGCCATCCATCATTCCTTCAATTCTGACCAGTTTCACAGTCCCTGCCGATGAAAAACATTCCCACAGCATGATGCTGCCACCACCATGCTTCACTGTGGGGATGGTGTTCTCTGGGTAATTAGAGGTGTTGGGTTTGCGCCAGACATAGCGTTTTCCTTGATGGCCAAAAAGCTCAATTTTAGTCTCATCTGACCAGAGTACCTTCTTCCATATGTTTGGGGAGTCTCCCACATGCCTTTGGCGAACACCAAACGTGTTTGCTTATTTTTTTCTTTAAGCAATGGCTTTTTTTCTGGCCACTCTTCCGTAAAGCCCAGCTCTGGGGAGTGTACGGCTTAAAGTGGTCCTATGGACAGATGCCTCAATCTCTGCTGTGGAGCTTTGCAGCTCCTTCAGGGTAATCTTTGGTCTCTTTGTTGCCTCTCTGATTAATGCCCTCCTTGCCTGGTCCGTGAATTTTGGTGGCCGGCCCTCTCTTGGCAGGTTGGTTGTGGTGCCATATTCTTTCAATTTTTTAATAATGGATTTAATGGTGCTCTGTGGGATGTTCAAAGTTTCAGATATTTTTTTATAACCCAATCCTGATCTGTACTTCTCCACAACTTTGTCCCTGACGTGTTTGGAGAGCTCCTTGGTCTTTATGGTGCCCCTTGCTTAGTGGTGTTGCAGACTCTGGGGCCTTTCAGAACAGGGGTATATATACTGAGATCATGTGACAGATCATGTGACACTTAGATTGCACACAGGTGGACTTTATATAACTAATTATGTGACTTCTGAAGGTAATTGGTTGCACCAGATCTTATTTAGGGGCTTCATAGCAAAGGGGGTGAATACATATGCACGCACCACTTTTCCTTTATTTATTTTTTTAGAATGTTTTGAAACAAGTTACTTTTTTCATTACACTTCACCAATTTGGACTATTTTGTGTATGTCCATTACATGAAATACAAATACAAATCCATTTAAATTACAGGTTGTAATGCAACAAAATAGGAAAAACGCCAAGGGGGCTGAATACTTTTGCAAGGCACTGTATAGGCCTACATGGCTAGGGGTATGTCAATACATGACCATGGTATGCGTTCAATTAGACAGTATAAAAACAGTGTTCCATAGGGTTAATGTGTGATATAATGTGCAATTTTATATTATAATGTATAATGTTTGGTGTATATGATGTACTGTATATGTTACAATCCCCCATAGAGCGGAGCTTGGTCCTGGAGGTGTGGAGGTATAATGTGATATAGTGTGATATAATGTGTACAGTTATCTAATAATGTGTAATGTTTTATAAGTGATGTATATGATGTACTGTATATGTTACGTCACCTCAATATCTCAGTGGTCATGATGAGACAGGAGGCTTCAGGACTCAGCTGGACGTCCCCGGTCAGCAGCCCCACGTCCCCAAAGGTGGTCTTGAAGTCCCGGAACTTCTGATTGGACAGCGCCTTGATGGGGGAGGTATAGATGGTCCTATCAGAAGGTGCAAATAGATGGAGAGGTTAGATTGCACCAGATGTGATTGGATGGCCCAACATGGAAAACAGGGAACAAGTCCATTTCCAATTTGTCTATTTCAACATCAGGAGTTTCTAATATATCCCATATTTATATCCTGTTGGATTAAAGATTTTAGAGAGGATGACAAACGTGTAAACACACACACCTGGTCATGTGCTTCTGTGAGAGTGCTATGGCGTATTCGGCCACCACGGTTTTGCCTGCTGATGTGTGAGCTGCCACAAACACAGACTCATGGGCCTCCAGCCTCAACACTGCCTGCTTCTGGAACACGTCCAACTCAAAGGGATACTGGGAGAGACAGGGAGAGGTGGGGATCACATTAGTATTGTGGAATGAACAAGGTTCTGTGCCAATAAGGGAATAGACTGTAATAATGTCATAACACTATAAAACAAAACCCTGTAATATGTGTAGGTATCAGATCATTTCAATGACCAGGCTTCTTTAATCTACATAGGACTAATGAACACATTAATCATCGACATATTCAACTTCATTAATCAAACCACCAACATATTTTGTAATTACAGCACAGTACCTTGAAGGCAGGGTTCGGGATCCGTTTATAGAAGTCACCGCAGGGGGAGGTGATGTCTACTGGGATTGCCCATCTCTTCTTCTCCTCCTGGCCCTCTCCTGGTTTGGTCGTTCCTCCATCTTTCTTCTCTGTAGAGGTGATCCCAGGTGTAGAGGGAGAGTCCTACAGGAGGAAATAGACAACCACCTTTCAATATATGAACATGACAAACCACAGAAGCTAAGTTAGATGGGAGATACATTTGAGATGTAGATCGTATTTGTCAATAAACAACAGAAAAAATGTATTTATTCAATACCTTGATCCCCAGGTCTTCCAGGCTGTTGGTTCTGGGTAGCTTTGGAGCGTTTCCACTTCCGTGACCTTTCTCCTTCTCTTCTGCCTCAGGCTGGGAGTCTACGATGTCATCAAAGGTGGACAGGAGGGACAGGAGGTTGATTTCTCCCTTTGTGGTTTTGGCATCTTTATAGAGAATTTAAAAAAGAAAGAAAATGTATTATATATTTATTCAAGCCAAGTCAAGAGGATAACCTTTAGGAACAAATGTCCATTCAAACCTTTGTCACTGAAGTCCATCCCAACTTTCAGTCCAGGGGGCACTGTGAGTAACCCTAAGGTAAAGGGAAATACATACACTACCAGTCAAAAGTTTGGACACACTCATTCAAGGGTTTTTCTTTATTTTTACTATTTTCTACATTGTAGAATAATAGTGAAGATGTCAAAACTATGAAATAACAGATGGAATCATGTAGTAACCAAAAAAGTGTTAAACAAATCAAAATATATTTTATATTTGAGATTATTCAAATAGCCACTCTTTGCCTTGATGACAGCTTTGCACACTCTTGGCATTCTCTCAACCAGCTTCACCTGGAATGCTTTTCCAACAGTCTTGATGGAGTTCCCACATATGCTGAGCACTTGTTGGCTGCTTTTCCTTCACTCTGCCGTCTGACTCATCCCAAACCATCTCAATTGGGTTGAGGTCGGGAGATTGTGGAGGCCAGGTCATCTGATGCAGCACTCCATCACTCTCCTTCTAGGTCAAATAGCCCTTACACAGCCTGGAGGTGTGTTGGGTCATTGTCCTGTTGTAAAACAAATGATAGTCCCACTAAGCCCAAACCAGATGGGATGTCATATCGCAGCAGAATTCTGTGGTAGCCATGCTGGTTAAGTATGCCTTGAATTCTAAATAAATCACAGACAGTGTCACCAGAATAGCACCTCCACACCATAACACCTCCATGCTTTACGGTGGGAAATACACATGTGGAGTTCATCCGTTCACCCACACCGCGTCTCACAAAGACACGGCGGTTGGAAACAAAAATCTCAAATTTGGACTCCCGACCAAAGGACACATTTCCACCAGTCTAATGTCCATTGCTCGTGTTTCTTGGCCCAAGTAAGTCTCTTCTTATTATTGGTGTCCTTTAGTAGTGGTTTCTTTGCAGCAATTCGACCATGAAGGCCTGATTCACACAGTCTCCTCTGAACAGTTGATGTTGAGATGTGTCTGTTACTTGAACTCTGTGAAGCATTTATTTGGGCTGCAATTTCTGAGGCTGGTAACTCTAATGAACGTATCCTCTGCAGCAGAGGTAACTCTGGGTCTTCCATTCCTGTGGCAGTCCTCATGAGAGCCAGTTTCATCAAGCGCTTGATGGTTTTTGCAACTGCACTTGAAGAAACTTTCAAAGTTGTTGATACCTTCATGTCTTAAAGTAATGATGGACTGTCTGCAATCAGTACTCTTGAGTGGCGCAGTGGTCTAAGGCACTGCATCGCAGTGCTAACTGTGCCACTAGAGATCCTGGTTCGAATCCAGGCTCTGTCGCAGCCGACCGCGACCGGGAGACTCATGGGCGGCGCACAATTCGCCCAGCGTCGTCCAGGGTAGGGGAGGGAATGGCCGGCAGGGATGTAGCTCAGTTGATAGAGCATGGCGTTTGCAACGCCAGGGTTGTGGGTTCGATTCCCACGGGGGGCCAGTATAAAAAAATATATATATTCACTAACTGTAAGTCGCTCTGGATAAGAGCGTCTGCTATATGACGTAAATGTAATATGTTCTTGCCATAATATGGACTTGGTCCATATTAAAGCTGTCATCAAGGCAAAGGGTGGCTATTTGAAGAATCTAAAATATATTTTGATTTCTTTAACACTTGTTTGGTTACTACAATATTCCATATGTGTTATTTCATAGTTTTGATATCTTTACTATTATTCTACAATGTAAAAAATAGTCAAACTAAAGAAAAACCCTTGAATGAGTAGGTGTCCAAACTTTTGACTGGTAGTGTATATTACTTACATAAACATGAACTAAGACAAGCAAGAAACATATATACTCAATAACAAAAATATCTGTCTAATCTGTATTCTGATTTTTGAAGAGAACCATTTGGTTCCTCGGAACAGCACACAGTGTGTTACTTCAAAGGCCCTTCTAGTCTGCATTTTCATTGTAAAGCAAGCATCCCGCCTCACAATAACCCCCCTCACTGTGCACAGGCAGTCTTTTGTATGACCATTGCCCCTTCACCATCTCAACCCCATAATAAAGGTCAAATCACCATTCTCAAAGTCTATGTCCTCCTCCAGCTCTGATTTCTTCTTGATTTGCTCCAGTGTCAGCTCCTCCATACCACCTATGACACAAGATAGAGAAAGAGTTCATATTTATATTCTTGACTAAAAGGAAGACACAACTTACAACAAACATTTATTATATATTTCAGAGCCATATATACACACACTACATGACCAAAAGTGCTCGTCGAACATCTCACTCCAAAATCATGGGCATTAATATGGAGTTGGTCCCCCCTTTGCTGCTGTAACAGCCTCCACTCTTCTGGGAAGGCATTCCACTAGATGTTGGAACATTGCTGCAGGGACTTGCTTCCATTCAGCCACAAGAGCATTAGTGAGGTTGGCACTGATGTTGGGCAATAAGGCCTGGCTCGTAGTCGGCGTAACAATTCATCCAAAAGGTGTTCGATGGAGTTGAGGTGCAGGCCGGTCAAGTTCTTCCACACCGATCTCGTTAAACCATTTCTGTATGGACCTCACTTTGTGCATGGGGGCATTGTCATGCTGAAACAGGAAAGGGCCTTCCCCAAACTGTTGCCACAAAGTTGGAAGCACAGAATAGTCTAGAATGTCATTGTATGCTGTAGCGTTAAGATTTCCCTTTACTGGAACTAAGGGGTGTAGCCTGAACCATGAAAAACAGCCCCAGACCATTATTCCTCCTCTAACAAACTTTACAGTTGACACTATGCATTGGGACAGGTAGCGTTCTCCTGGCATCCGCCAAACCCAGATTAGTCTGTCGGACTGCGAGACGGTGAAGCGTGATTCATCACTCCAGAGAACGCGGCGAGCTTTACACCACTCCAGCCGACGCTTGGCATTGCGCATGGTGATCTTAGGCTTGTGTGCGGCTGCTCTGCCATGGAAACCCATTTCATGCAGCTCCCGACGAACAGTTATTGTGCTGACGTTGCTTCCAGAGGCAGTTTGGAACTTAGTGAGTGTTGCAACCGAGGATAGACGACTTTTACGCGCTCTGCGCTTCAGCACTCAGCGGTCCCGTTCTGTGAGCTTGTATGGCCTACCACTTTGCGGCTGAGCCGTTGTTGCTCCTAGACGTTTCCACTTCACAATAACAGCACTTACAGTTGACCGGGGCAGCTCTAGCAGGGCAGACATTTGACGAACTGACTTGTCGGAAAGGTGGCATCCTATGACGGTGCCACGTTGAAAGTAACTGAGCTCTTCAGTAAGGCCATTCTCCTGCCAAAGTTTGTCTATGGAGATTGCATGGCTGTGTGCTCGATTGTATACACCTGTCAGCAACGCGTGTGGCTGAAATAGCCGAATCCACTAATTTGAAAGGGTGTCCACATACTTTTGTATATATAGTGTATATGGCTCTGATAATATATTTAGGTGGTGAGTCAGACCCACCGGGCAGAAAGGGGTAGTTGGTGTTGCTTCCTCTGAGGCTCTCAGAGGGATTAGGGTTTGGTGGACGTTGTAGGGACATAGAATTTTTAGCAGAGATGCCTGTGTCCCCCAGTAACACCTGGATAGAGTGAGAGAGAGATTTAATTACATTGGGTTGCAAAATGTGTAGCAAGTGTATATAAATCAAAGTAGACCTTTCAATAAGATTAGTCGATCATCACTCAGGGAAGTGCTACAATTTTGAATGTTCCCATTGAGTCACATCATTATCATAGCTGTATGATTGGGACACACAGACTAAGACAGAATAGCTTAGTAAGATCTGACACTAGTATGTACCTCAGTGAAGTCCAACAACATTCCTGTTGTTGGATCTCTGATTACTGAGATGCCAGAGTGCATAGTAGATGGAGCACAATGGAGAAGAGAGTCTACATGAACATCTCTCTCAGCCAGCCTAGAGAAAAACAACAAGTCTGTTACCGCAAGTTAATTCTGTGACCATGTGGTACAACAGCCTCATCTGGACCACTGAATTCCCCTTATAAACACCACTTCCCAAGAAAGATTTACATTGCATCAAATAAATAAAAAGTTTAGAAGTAAAAACCCTAATAAGAAATGTAAGCAGACTCACTTCAGAAACCTGTGGAAGGCAGCGTCGGTATCGTGTATGGGAAGCCAGGCAGGGTCGCGTAGAAAGCGCTTCTCTACCTCTGTCTCCAGGCCCACACTGGTGGGAGGGAGTCCATGGGGGAGCTGTAGATAAATGAATGATAGGGAGATAATGGGCTGGAGAGATTGGATAGGAGATCTATGTCAACACAAGTTTGCTCCCTTTCCTCTAAACTTGATGGCGGGCCTTTGCGGATCTGAAGGATAAGGATAGGTAGGTGAGACCTACTGTAAAAATTTAACTTTGACAAATAGAGAGGTAGATGGAATATATTAGTTTGCAGGCCTTTTCATATCTGTAGAAATGGCAGGGCGAGTTTTCAGATAAGAGTCCAACCACACACTGACCCTCTCATACTATGTCAACACAAGTTTGCTCCCTTTCCTCTAAACTTGATGGCGGGCCTTTGCAGATCTGAAGGATAAGGGTAGGTAGGTGAGACCTACTGTAAAAATGTAACTGTGACAAATAGAGAGGTAGATGGAATATATTAGTTTGCGGTCCTTTTCATAACTGTAGAAATGGCAGGGCGAATTTTCAGATAAGAATCCAACCACACACTGAGACTCTCATACTGACCGAGCTTTGTGGAGGCAGGGGTTGTTCATTGGGCTGTGGATGTGTGATGAGCTCAAACCTGCCAGAGCAACCCATCTCCAGCAGCGATATAGGGAGGTCAGTGGGGCCCACAGCGGGCAGATCTATGGAGAGAGAGAAATGGGATTGAGATGAATTGCCTAGTTTCTATGGACTATCCTCTATCGTACAATACAATACTCCATTGTAGATATTAATGCACATAAACACATATTGCAATGTCATCATTTACTGCTTTAGCTGATAAGATTCTTCCCATAACACGTTGCACATGTTGGGAGTGACTACATTTCTGCTACATGAATGACAGATGAGCTGACTACTGTAGTTAACGTTAGCTAGGCTAACCCAAGTTGTCATATTCGCCAGTAAACTGGATTGCTAGCAAGTTTAGTGCAAGTTACTTTAAAACAAAGCTTACAGCAATGATATTAAATGTATGCCTAATTCATTAACTGTAAATGTATATATTATCTGACGTTTTAATGTCCTTTACCTATTCTTTCCATTTCTCCACCGCAGATGAAAATCGGAAATGGCAACGTTTGATAGGCGGAAGTAGGTACAATTGCCAAATGTAATACGATAAATATCTCAATATTAATTAATTATTTTAACAAATGTTGTCAAGTGTATTCAATGCATTTCTTATAATTGACTTATTCCAGCAATTTTAGCAGGTTGAATCGTATTTTTCTTATTCATGCGCCCCTAACAACTGTCTACGTCATATTCATGCGCCTGTGTTTTTGTGTTCATGAAGTAGTGAGTGAATAAAAGTAGCTACAGTAACGTTACAGAGGTAACACAAATAATTACATTTCTAAATACAGTAGTGTCATTTTAGTTTAAAACAAATATTGTTGTAGTCTGAAACCTACATTGCGATATTGTTGATAAGTAATTTAATACTTTCCACTGCCCTGTGTAATACATAATGTAACTAGCTAACGTTAGTAGTAAGTTAGCTAACTAGGTAGCTAGCCAACCAGCTAGCCTTAATTAACAATCTAACGTAAGGTTTAAAATGTTGTCAGATGCATGCAGAATGTAGAAACAGAAATCTCTGTGGTCGTGAACAAAGTGTAAATGGGCGTTTATGAGTTCATGCAATAGCTAACGTTATATAGAGTTGAATTCAACCACACTTGTGTATTGACATTCATTGTGTTGTGCAAATGTGTCCACTATTCTGGTTGTCCATTCCTTTTTCACAATGCTTTCCAGCTGGGTTCAACATGGTGGTGTTCCCAAGCTCTTTGACAGAAGAAGAGGAGTCTCTGCAGAAGAAATATGCCAAACTCAAGAAAAAGGTGGAAAACTCAAAGAATCTCCTCACTCCACTTGACTAGAGAGAACTATCCATGTAACTGTATCCTGCTGCTGAAAATGAGATGTGCCACTGTCCCACATTTGCAGATGTGATCAAGAGTAGGCCTTCATTAAATCAACATTCACCTGTCAGTCATCATCATCACACTCATAATGTTGAAAGTTAGAAATCATTATTATGTTACCAAACGCCGATTGGCCTCCTCAGTGTTTACACCTCTTATTCTCTCTCTCTCTATCCTCACACCTCTAGAAAAAGGCCCTGCTGGCTTTGAAGAAGCAGCAGAGTTCAACCAGCCAGACCAATCAGAGTGGATTGAAGCGCAGTATGTGGCTTTGGCTTCACTTTAATAAGTGAACTCTTTAAAACTGCATTACCAAGCAGATACTTGGTCTCAGTTGGTTAAGTTGCATCTACTCTCTCCGTCCTCTAGCTTTGTCAGACCAGCCAGTGCTAGATACAGCGACAGCTACAGAGCAGGCGAAGATGCTGATTAAGTCTGGGGCCATCAGTGCCATCAAGTCAGAGAACAAGAACTCTGGCTTCAAGCGCTCTAGAACGCTAGAGATCAAGCTCAAGGTAAGATACAACATGCATTATGTAAGGATGTGTAATGTAGTAGTAGGAATTTATCATAGAATAAATAATTGATATAATTATGTATATACATTAATAATAATAATATATATAAAGCTTACAGGTGCAAATGCCTTTTAAATCTGACACATACACTAGTCTGATGGAACTAAAATGTATAAATGTAGGTTCCAGTAATGATTTGTTACATTTTCTTTCTGTTTACCAGGATCCAGAGAAAGTCCCTGGCCCTGTGGCTTTCCAACCATTCCAAAGGAGCATGTCCACTGATGATGAGCTTTCTGAGGTAAAGTGAGAATAACATGACATCCCATTTAAAATCGTTCAATGAATTGATGTACTTTACCTACAAAATGGCATACTTTTACAGTATTTTACCAATACTGTCTGCCTGTATTGTGGACACAGAATCAGTGACTTTGAAAAAATATGTTCTTGAGAATATATAACTGATGCTGCTACTTTAAATTTTAAATTTCTACTTCAGGCTGGCAAAAGAGCCCACAGAAAATCTCTGTATGAGAGGTAAGCCTAAAAGCTCTGATGAATAATAGAGTAGGTCATGTTTTATACACTTGTTCTCTGTATAAGGTGGTTTAACATCTCTCCCTCTGTGGCTCTCCAACAGCTTCGTCACTCCAGGTGACCGGGCGGCTCGAGACGAGGATGAGGGAGGTGGCCTGTCCACCAGCAAAGACATAGAGCGAGAGAGAGACAGAGGAGACCGAGAGATGGACAGAGAGAGAGAGCGCGACCGAGAGAGAGACCGGGGCAGCGGCGACCGGGGCAGGGACAGAGAGCTGCGAGATCGCGAGAGGACCGAGAGAGACAGGAGCCGGGACGGAGAGCGTGACCAGGAAAGGGGAGGAGACAGAGAGTCACGTGAGCGAGACGGACCATTCAGACGTGAATATTATTTTAATGAACTTCTGTCTTTCATGTCTTTAATCACTGGCATTCTTAAAAAGGATGTTCCCACTCAAAAAGTTCAAGGAGCGAATAATGGAACTTTTTTCTTCCCCCTTATCGCTCTCTCCCTTTCCCTTTCAGGATCAGACTCGTACCCGGAGCGGAGGGGGGTGAGGAAGGGGAACACGGTGTACGTTTATGGAACTGGCCTTGTGGAGGACAGCCTGCGCTCAGCCTTCTCCCAACACGGCACCATCATTGACCTATCCATGGACTCCCAACGCAAGTAGGGCTACATAACTACAATGTTGTTGAGATGTTATGTCCATGTGGCAGTGTGTGATTGTTTCAGTGTTTTAAAATGTTTTGCAATTGAAAACTAGTCCAGTAATTCCCTTACTGTTTTGTTGTTTGGTGGCTAATGAACACAACCCTGTATTTCTCTTTCTAGCTGTGCATTCATCACCTTTGAAAAGATGGAGTCTGCAGACCAGGCTGTAGCGGAGGTAAGTACAGTACCAGTCAAAAGTTTGGACACACCTACTCATTCAAGGGTTTTTATTTATTTTTACTATTTTCTACATTGTAGAATAATAGCGAAGACATCGACACTATGAAATAACACAAATTGAATTATGTAGTAACCAAAAAAGTGTTCAACAGATTCTTCAAATAGCCACCCTTTGCCTTGATGACAGCTTTGCACACTCTTGGCATTCTCTCAACCAGTTTCACCTGGAATGCTTTTCCAACAGTCTTGAAGGAGTTCCCACATATGCTGAGCACTTGTTGGCTGCTTTTCTTTCACTCTGCCGTCCGACTCATCCCAAACCATCTCAATTTGGACTCCAGACCAAAGGACACATTTCCACTGGTCTAATGTCAATTGCTCGTGTTTAATGGCCCAAGCAGGTCTCTTCTTCTAATTTGTGTCGTTAGTAGTTGTTTCTTTGCAGCAATTCGACCATGAAGGCCTGATTCACACAGTCTCCTCTGAACAGTTGATTTTGAGATGTCTGTGACTTGACCTCTGTGAAGCATTTATTTGGGCTGCAATTTCTGAGGCTGGTAACTCTAATGAACTTATCCTCTGCAGCGGAGGTAACTCTGGGTCTTCCATTCCTGTGGCAGTCCTCATGAGAGCCAGTTTCATCATAGCACTTGATGTTTTTTGCCACTGCACTTGAAGAAACTTTCAAAGATCTTGAAATGTTCCGTATTGACTGACCTTCATGTCTTAAAGTAATGATGGTCTGTTTCTCTTTGCTTATTTGAGCTGTTCTTGCCATAATATGGACTTGGTCTTTTACCAAATAAGGCTATCTTCTGTATACCTTGTCACAACACAACTGATTGGCTCAAATGCATTAAGAAGGAAAGGAATTCCACAAATTAACTTTTAAGAAGGCACACCTGTTAATTGGAAGGCATTACAGGTGACTACCTCATGAAGCTGGTTGAGAGAATGCCAAGAGTGTGCAAAGCTGTCATCAAGGCAAAGGGTGGCTATTTGAAGAATCTCAAATATAAAATATATTTTGATTTGTTTAACACTTTTTTGGTTACTACATGATTCCATATGTGTTATTTCATAGTTTTGATGTCTTCACTATTATTCTACAATGTAAAAATAAAGAAAAACCCTGGAATGAGTAGGCGTGTACAAACCTTTGACTAGTAGTGTATGCTCTAGCTCCCTCTCCCAACTTAAGTCATTATAGTGTAAACCTATAATCCATACACTCTTCTTCTCCCAGTTGAATGGAAGCTCAGTGGGAGATGTCCCCATAAAAGTCAGCATTGCCAGGAAGCAGCCCATGCTGGAGGCAGCCACCGGCAAATCTGTCTGGGCCACTCTGGGTAAATATCACAGTGAAACACAGATCGGACTAACAAGCAGTGCGACAGTGTCAACTCTGGATTCATGTATTCTTTCTCTCCCTGTCTTTCGCTCACAGCTGTGCAGAACAGTGCCAAAGGCTCCTACCGAGACAAGAGGAACCAGGTTGTGTACAGTGAGGATTTCCTATGAGCTAGGAGGTGTGCCGCGTTGGATATCTGTAAGGAGTAGAATCAATGATTTAGTGTTAGCTTTGTTTGTATGCTTTTTCTATATTGCATTTTGAGTTTGTTGTTGATTGCCTGTTAGCCCGATGTAGCACCACGTGTCAGTTGTTCTGAGTAGATACTACATTTCTAATCATGGCCAGGATGTGTAATGGCAATGACCACGTGAACAGAGATTGTGGTGGTTTGCTTGGTCTTGCTCTTGTAACCAGGGGTTTCATTGTTTTGGGGTGCTCAATAAATCACATCAATACATTTGTCCATCTGGTTGTCTTGCTTTGAATCAAATTAGATTTGGCACTGTATCAATGTAATAACACAATAATAGTATCTGTCTACTGTCTCAGTTGTAGGCCTCACGTATCCATTGTCTGGTTCCTTTGGAATAGCACGATACAGTGCAGAGACGTACTTATATTAAACATGTCAGCTGAGCACACCAATCATTTAGCAGACGCTCTTATCCAGAGTGACTTACAAATTGGATAGATACACAATAGTGTCTCACGAGTCATGAGTAAGCGCGCATTGCACAAGTGTAGATCTATTACTATTTGTCCCTTGTGATGAACATGACTATGGAATGACTGAACCTACTTTATTTTGGATCCCTCTTTAAATGAAGTGTCTTAACAGTAAGTGCACGTTGTTACAAATAAATGTTTGTGTAGCTGTAATTAAACATTACAAATCAGCTTGTATGTACCAACATCCAGTGTTTAATAAGAAGCTCACCCTCTCAAATACACAAATTAAAATATTTTATTGGTCAGCCACTGAGTTACAAATGAGACAACAAGAGATCTAAAACGGAGGTTTGCACAACTCCAGTCCTACAGAGCCACAGTCATGTAGGTCATCGTTTCCCCCCTTCAATTAAATAAGAGATAAAAGATAAATAATCAATCCATGTCATTGACTGGCCAGATAAAACCAGCATACACTTCCCATAAGGAGGACCAGAGTTGTGCACCCCAGGTCTAAAAGGAGGGGTTTTCCCTTTCAAGGTCTTAGTAGGTCCCTCCAGCACACACCTCTTTTCCAACCCTCAAATCTGAAGCTACACTCCAAACCACTCTTTTGACCATTAGGGCAGAAGCACACATCCGCTTGTTTGAATAACCCCTCTTTACCTCCAACCGCAACCTGTAATGCTTAGTCAATGAGTGTACACTTTGGCCAGTGTCCTTGTCAAAAGTCAAATCTGTCCTGAGTGTCTCCCTCTCCTCCCCCTGGCCCTGCCACTCTCTCCATCTCGGCTTGTGCCTCCAGGCTGTTCTGAGCGGTCGTCTTCCCGTGCTGCTCTTTGAGGTGGCGCCGAAGCGCCGGCTTGTGGGCGAAGCGTGAGTGGCAGTAGGCGCAGCAGTGGGGCCGCTCGCCGCTGTGCAGGTTCATGTGATCGCACAGCGTGGACTTCTGCGTGAATGTCTTGTCGCAGAGCAGGCAGCGGTGGACCTTGGCACCGCGATGAACGGTCATGTGGCGGTTGAGGTTGCTGGAGTGGTTGAAGTGTTTGCCACAGCAGGGGCACACGTACAGCAAGTGGGTGGCACGCGAGTGGACGGCCAGGGAGTGGGCCGAGGGGAAGGTCAGGCCGCATTGCTCACAAGCCACCGGTCCTGCTGTGCTGGAGGTGGAGCCTACCACTGCCACAGACTCATCCCCCGTCTCATCACCACCTGTTGGCACAGCCGCCATCCCCATATTAGCCTCACCTCCATCACCACTGGGGTCGTCCAGGCTGTAGTGGGCCGGACCATTCCCATCCCGGGGCACCAGCTCCTCTCCCTGAGCCTCCCCCATCCCGTAGTCTAGCCGTGGGAGCTCGCTCCCCGAGAGGAACGCTGACCTCATGGCTTCCTGGCTGAAGTCCAGGCCGAAGCTCTGCATCATCTCCGCCCCGGTGGGAAGACGCCACGCCTCCTGGTACTGCATACCTAGAGGCCTCCTCTCGCGGTACGAGCCACGCTTCCTCTTGAAGCCCCTCCCCCGGCCCACTTTGGGTGAGTCGGTGAGTCGCCGCCTCCAGGCGCGGAGCCCCTCCCTCTCGAAGCCACTGATGCGGATAGCCATTTCGGCTGGGGTCCCGTTGTCCCCCTCGCCCCCTCCCACTATGACACTGTCCGTATCTGGGTACTGGCCCCCCTGATGGCCCTCTGTGGCTTCCTCACCGCCCTCCTCTACCTCTCGCCTCTCTTCCGGCTCCTGCTCCTGTTCATCCTCGATGCAGATCCGGAACACGTCATAATCCTCCCTGCCCTCGTCCTCCTCTGTTACCCTCACCTGGAACAACATTGAGACCGATTTGAGTGTGCTAGTAATCAATGTCCTTGGGTAGCTACCAGACCTGGGTTCAAATACTATTTACATTTACATTTACATTTTAGTCATTTAGCAGACGCTCTTATCCAGAGCGACTTACAGGAGCAATTAGGGTTAAGTGCCTTGCTTAAGGGCACATCGACAGATTTTTCACCTAGTCGGCTCGGGGATTAGAACCAGCGACCTTTCGGTTACTGGCACATTATCTCAATTACTTTCACATACATTCTAAGTATTTATTTTTATTTGAAAAGACAAGTAGTTGAATATCTTAATGCATTTGGAAATACTCAAATACACTGACTCAAATACACTCACATACATTTAACCCAGGGATTTAAAAATACTATTTGGTAGACTATTTTTATTTTATTTTTTTACAAATAACCATTAAATACTCAAACATTTATAATTTTGGGGCAGTGTATTTGAAAATACTCAAATACACAGAAAACAATATTTGAACCCAGGTAGCTACTATTATGTTGATACAGTAACTCTGCTGTTGTAGAGAGTACATGATTCTCTCCCATTTATAGATCCAGAGATGGATGCACTGGTAAGTGTTGTTCCTGAATCTACTTACCTTGATCTCATCCAGTGTGTTATGTTCGTCATCGTGTCGTATATCTGTCTTAGTGTGCAAGTCTGTATGGTCATCAGCCTGAGACTGTACAGGGCTGTGAGGCTGCAGTGAGGGGGAATGATCAGTCGAGGCCGACATAAGAGATTGACTGCTGCCACTGACTGTCACTGGCATCGAGTGGCTCTCTTCTGACTTGATCTGAAAATGAGCGGTGGAGAGAAAAAGAATGAAGATGAGCCGATTGAATGTCTTCACAGGTTGAACAATCTGACTGTCAACACTGCAAATCCAGCCTTTGTTGAATCACATAATAGACCAGTTCAGTAAGTATTTGCTTTCTACAACTGAAATGTATGTTAACATTTTATGTTGTGATTTTAAACCAATGCTTCAATAGGGTGTCTTCGACTATACACCAATAAACACTAACCAAAATAGGTAACTAACCTTTGGTGAGCTGGGGTTCCTTGGCTGCATGTACTTGCCCAGGGCTCCCCGGCACTTCTCCACAACATGCTCCATCTGCAGGTAGCTAGCGGCCGTCAGGTAATTCACTATCTCCTTAGGGCTGAACTGCAGCACACCGGTGTAACAGGACTGGAGCAGCTCACATACCACCGAGGAGCTGTGAAGAACTGACACCTAGAGGGCAAAATAGGACCAAAAAAATAGGCAAACAGATATTTTGCTGTTACGTCTCAGAGATTTTTCCTATGCTCAATCGTGTAAGCCATTAGTGTCATATCCTGCTAGACTTGTGATAGTCTCTACTCGACTGCACCATAATGAGGCATAGGACTGGAACCACAGCTGGCATGATGCAACATCTGTTAACTTCCCAGGCGCAAAGATTAAAACAGTCAGATCATTGAAAGGGCATGTGACAAGAAGTGTCAGGGGCTAGTATATCAGCTGAAGCTAAAAACATTTATCAAACATAACCCAAATAGTGTGTAACAAGGTGGCTTTCACTGGCATCCACCTGCAGTTCAGAGGAAGGGTTAAGCAGGAACTGGTCCCTGAGGAAGGGGGAGCAGGCAGCCAGGACCACTTTGTGTCCCCGGAATGTCTGCCTGCCGCTGGCCACGATGGTGATGTCACAGAACTGCTGCCTGGACCTCAGGGAGTTCATGCTCTTCAGGGTGGCATCACTGTGACCCGGCAACCGGAAACACAGCACCTCCATCTTAGCTACTGTGGAGCCTATAGGAAAGACATGAAGAGGACATTCTTGAAATTATGCAATTAACATATATATATATATATATATATATAAAAAGGTGACATTTAGCATCTGGATCAACCTAAGGGAAACTTGGCACTTTTGGGGGCCTGGATATTTCTCCAGCTACAGTCACACTGGCCAAATTCAGACCAGAAAGAGAGCGCGAGAGAGACCCCCATGGTGGTGTCTGGCTATACTTTAAAGAGTAATAGCACAACAGCTTCCATATCTCGGCTCGACAATCAACATTCCATGTGATTCTTAACTGATGGTCATGTTAGACAGAGTAGGTCGAGTCATTGTTCACTTGTTTTGTTTTCGAGTCAAGCAGGTCACAATGAGTAACTGAAATCAGCCATATGATATGGCTCTCTGGCACATTTTTAAAAGAATCGAGCTACTACTAGCCTAGGTTGAAGATAACCATTAATGTTATATATTTTTTCGACCTAGCTACATACTACCGTACTAACTTACTGCTAACGTTACTAGCTCGCTAGTTAACACTAGCAGCATGCGCTTATGTCAATTGTGCAGGTTTTAAAATGTTGCTAACGGTAACGTTAGTGTATTCAACCCCTCTCGTAGCTACCCAGCTAGTCGTACCTAGCTAGCTTGTTGCCTCCCTAGCCCCAGTCCAATGTCAACTAGCTAGCAACAAGACTGCTAGCAATAAAAGCCAATAAATTCGACATTAGCTAGTTTAGTGTTTTCTTACCTGCTATTACTATAGATATCTTTCCTCCTTAATATATGTTTTGTTGTGGTGTAACTAGGCACTCAATTATTGCCCATTCGTTGTATGTTAGCTAGCGAGCCAGCTAGTATGTTTACTTTGTTTAGCTAGCTAGCTTGTTTTCAACGGTCGTCACTAGTTATCACAGCCACAAAGTAATAAACCCCGCCTATTTCTACAATTTAGCTTTTTAAAATTTGATTTTAAACCTAACCTTAACCACACTGCTAACCTTATGCAGAACATAAAGTTAAGCCACATTTTGTTTTCATGAATTTTTACGATTTAGCTAGCGATTTTTAAAAACGTGAGTGGACCACCACTTCCCCTTCCAACAGCTAGCCAGTCAACTTTTTAAAGGGGAAGACACAAAAAGGAATGTCTGGAAACTTAGTTTGCTGTTTTGGAGTAAACAACCCAAAGTCATTCATGGCTAGTGAGCCACATCTTTATCCTCAACATACAGTGAGTTATATATACAGATATGTTCATGTACATTGATACTGGCAATCCCTGTATATATCTCCATTCTTGTGTATTTTTGCCATCTTTCTTGTGTTAGGGACAGTTCGAAATTTACTGGGGGGGGGGGGGCTGGTCCAAAATAGGGGATGGTTGTCAAACTTTTTTTTTGTTTTGGGGAGGGTTGTGTGTTTTTTTTTATTGGGTACAGGGGAGATTAGTGCATTTTTTCCCTGATTTACATTTGCCATTTTACAGGCTTTACTATATAATGTCTTCCATATAGCCACATTTCCTCATCTGCTTAATATAAAATAATATGCCATTTAGCAGACGTTTTTATCCAAAGCGACTTACAGTCATGCGTGCATACATTTTTCTGTATGGGTGGTCCCGGGGATCGAACCCACTACCTTGGCGTTACAAGCGCCGTGCTCTACCAGCTGAGCTACAGAGGACCACATGCTTGCATGCGCCTCCCCTGTCCATAGCCACATGATGTAGGGGTGCTGAGGGTGCTGCAGCACTAGTCCTGTATTAGTGGACCGATATTTCTGTCTGTAGTGCGGGCCCCAAAAAATATATCTGCCCCCCTCCCCACAACAAAATTCTCAGCACCCTGATTAGGCTACTTCAAAAGTCTCCAGTAGGCTACCTGCACATGTTCATCCACTCCACTAATATAATTCCAGCATCCAAACTGCTCAACGGCCATTCGATTAATGGAAAGAGACATCTGTTACAAAACACCAAAAAGTTGAATGACATTCTGAGATTTTCAAACCAAGCCTTTGATACTGAGTAGGGAGGGAGGTATTTTCTTTTTGTAGAGATTGAAAATGCAAACCATGATAATAAGCGCTAAAAGTCGGTAATCGGTATGCAGTTATGCATTGCTTATTGGTTGTGTGTGGTGCATTGGCACAGAAACCTGTTGGTGGGAAAAAAAAGTATATAATTATATAGCATAAAAATGTTGAAAATCTGAAACTGGGCGAAAGGGGTCCATATCAGGGGATATCTTTACATGACACGTTTTTGATATTCTAGAGAACTCAAACCATTTCCAATGCATATTTTGAATTTTGTGGATATGCACCATATCCTGACAAATTCTGAATCCAGATGTGTCTTTTAGACATATATGATATTGGGATTATTCCGAATATCACACATGGACATTTCCTATGGCCGGATATGGACTTATTCAATACCCTGAGACAAATACTGACTGTATACATCGCATATGTGTTTTCTCAGCACATTCGAGATAGGAAGCTATATTGATTCCAGATATGCTTATCTTGGCTGAGGTCCATATCCAGATCTTGATTTGCTGAAAACAAGGATGATTTCTGGTGCATTTCTGAGTTTTTAGCACATGCTCAATATGAAATCTACATTTTGTATTAAGTATGAAATCTACATTTTGCACAAATATTTTTTGGATTCCCTCCGGATATCATACATGGTGTGGCCGGATATTGACTCATTAGATATCCTGAGATAGGCCTATGTGGACATCTTAATTTCACCATATGATGACAAATACTGACAGTAGACCTACATAGTATATTTTCTCAGCACATACAATGCATATGCTCTTGACTGAGGTCCATATCAGGATCTTGATATGCATGGCCATAAATGGTGTGGTCAAACTGACAACTGGAGAAACAAAGAAGTGAGAAGCTGTTCAGAAAATACCTAAAAGAAGTAAACGCTAAAGTGAGTAGCTAATTATTTATCTCTGTTATTTATCTTAGTAACTAGAATCAAGAACGCTAGCTAATTTGGCCAGCAGCCAGTAGGGCTAGCTAGCTAGAGGGGTAATGTTAAAAGCTAACTGGTAGCCTAGATAGTTAGCTAAACAATAACAAAATTGCCTTCCCTTCAGGGAGAAACATTGTTACCCCCTATCAAGCCTCAAGGTGTCAGCTAACGTTTTAAAAAATGTAAGCGTATTTTGTATTACTGGTTAATATAAGCTAGCTAACTAACTTAGCTAGCTTGTTCCCGTTTGTTTTCTCGTCATGAATGAAGCAGGTAGCGCAGCTACCTTGAGGTATGGTTATTTGAAATTACAATATTTTCTTACATTGACAATTTTGATTTATGCATTGACAGTTTGGAGTGGATCACAGACCAACAAGTTTCAAGTTTTAATGTCATATGCACAAGTACAGTGAAATGCCTTTTTTGCAAACTCAAAACCCAACAATGCAATAATCAATAATAATAATGTAATACTAGAAAAAAACACGAGAAATAAGAAGATATGAAGAACACAATAAGTAAGTAAGTAAGCATACTATATAAAGGGTCAGTTCCAATACCATATTTACAATGTGCAGGGATACTCCAGTGATGGAGGTAGATTCTGTATGTATAGGGGTAAGGTGACTAGGCAAAAGGATAAGATAAACAGAGTAGCAGCAGCTTGTAAAATTATTGGATTCAGCAATTTCAGCCACACCCGTTGCTGACAGGTGTATCAAATCGAGCACACAGCCATGCAATCTCCATTGACAAACATTGGCAGTAGAATGGCCTTACTGAAGAGCTCAGTGACTTTCAACGTGGCACCGTCATAGGATGCCACCTTTCCAAAAAGTCAGTTTGTCAGATTTCTGCCCTGCTAGAGCTGCCCTGGTCAACTGTAAGTTCTGTTATTGTGAAATGGAAACATCTTGGAGCAACAACGGCTCAGCCGCGAAGTGGTAGACCACACCAGCTCACAGAACGGGACCACCGAGTGCTGAAGGGCGTAGGGTGTAAAAATCGTCTGTCCTCAGTTGCAGCACTCAGTACCGAGTTCCAAACTGCCTCTTGGAAGAAACATCAGTACAAGAACTGTTCGTTCGGAGCTTCATGAAATGGGTTTCCATGGCCGAGCAGCCGCACACAAGCCTAAGATCACAAAGCGTAATGCCAAGCGTCAGCTGGGGTGGTGTAAAGTTCAACGCCATTGGACTCTGGAGCAGTGGAAACGCGTTCTCTGGAATGATGAATCACACTTCACCATCTGGCAGTCTGATGGACGAATCTGGGTTTGGTGGATGCTAGGAGAACATTACCTGCCCCAATGCATAGTGGCAACTGTAAAGTTTGGTGGAGGAGGAATAATGGTTTGGGGCTGTTTTTCATGGTTTCAGGCTAGGCCCCTTAGTTCCAGTGAAGGGGGGGGGGGGGTTTGATCCCTGCACGACCGGAATGAAGCGGCTCGCACACTAGCAGTGAACATTTTGCAGAAACATAACGCTATGTTACATATCTCACTGCTTTCTTCCATGCGCTGTGCTCTCCTGATGCCAAATAATCATTAATCTTAATATTAATTCAATGGATTTTGGTCAGTAAACCCATGGAATAGGGTGTTAATAATATTTATAAAAAATGTATTAGCAAGTACAAATTACAAGTGCATAACTATATTGTAATTTTTCATGAAGAAAAATTGTTGGGAAAAGTATTTGTATCATTATTTTGTTGCAATGTTTTCATAAACCATGTCCAATATTTGATTGGCAATAAAAAACAAAAGCCTCATGTTCTTGGTCACATTACTGCTAACTTAATGTGAGCTAGTCATGCTGCGCGCACTGTGCAGTTCCAAAACAATCCAAAGGGTGGCAGCCTAGACCACAAATTAATGTTTTGCATGAAGTAATGTTCTAGTTACATGCAATATAGCAGGATTGGGATTTTAGGCTGCCATTTTTTGGATTATGTTGGAACTGCGTAAACTCACTTTAGCAGTAGGCTTGTATTATAACTGTACATACCAGCATACAATCCTTTCTCCAACTAAATATTAACAATGTTTGCGAGTTATATTACACAGTACCAGGATGTTAGTCCATCCATAAAGATTAGAAATTAAACTAAATGAAAACCTGTCTATGACTTCACTTTTTCCAAAGCGTGTTAGTATGTATATCATGATGCATTCTATCTTGGGTCATTGGGCTCCCAAGCCAGGTTTGTAGACGTCTTAATGCACTGAATGATCTCTAACAGCTGCTAACTGGGATGGTCAGCGCGGCCTGTATGATTGCCTTCAGTGATGGAGTGGCGCAGTGGTCTAAGGCACTGCATCGCAGTGCTAACTGTGCCACTAGAGATCCTGGTTCGAATCCAGGCTCTGTCGCCGCCGGCCGCGACCGGGAGACTCATGGGCGGCGCACAATTGGCCCAGTGTCGTCCAGGGTAGGGGAGGGAATGGCCGGCAGGGATGTAGCTCAGTTGATAGAGCATGGCGTTTGCAACGCCAGGGTTGTGGGTTTGATTCCCACGGGGGGCCAGTATAAAAAAATATGTATTCACTAACTGTAAGTCGCTCTGGATAAGAGCGTCTGCTAAATGACTAAAATGGAAATGGAAACAAATCATGGTCTAACAGTTTATACACACAGGACATGTCAGAATGGCATCTTTCTTTTTTTGAGAGGTAATGTTTAGCAATAACTACTTCCTCTGGCTTGAGAGGATATGTTTGTCTTGTGTGGGCCTCCCCTATCTTATGTTCTCTCTCAGTCCTGTCTGCTCCTCTCTCTCACTCCCCTCTCTTCCTTGCTGTCTGAAGTTCTGCTTTCCTGGATCTCCTATATTATTACAGAGATGGCATAGTATCAGTGCCATAGCAATATGGAGTATGCTGAACAGCCAAACACAAAC